ACGGACACACGCACACAAATACAAAATGGCCGCCGGCATTGTTCCAAGACATTTGCATTGTTTTGTTCGAGTTTGTTAAGACTGAACTTCAATTTGATAAGAAAGTGCGCGCGCTGTCCGCCGACACATTGTGTCCGATGTTTTATAACTTTAATATTACGTACGTGTGCATACACTTTTGTATGATTCTAATCATTGAAACGTCGTCCCACCGCCGCCGCCGGGAGAGAGACGTGTACGTGCGCGCGCGGACACGACGGACTTACGATGCTAGGCTTTTGTAATCATACACATATGACAATAGAAATAATATTTAACATGTAATGGAAACGTTTTTATTTAAGAAAAGTATAATTAGTTTGTGTCGCGAGTCGCGGCGGAGACTGCGCTTTCAGTTTACAAGCGGACAGCCTCGTCCTAGTTGAATACGACTCGCATATAAAGTTGTGCCGACCCTTTTGTACTTTCATTTTGAAATGTTAATGTTCTCGTTCCGCTCTGTGTCGGTGATATCAGTCGCATGTTATTTTATTTCTCTTACCGTGCCGGGATTCCTTGTGGATGTGACTGTATGTGAAATGTATGGGGAATGTGGATGTGTATGTTTGTATGTTAGTTAGATGTTACTGTACGCTCGTGTTGTACGACACGTCCGCGCAGCGACGCGCTTCCGACACGAGCCGAGCCGGGCCGAGCCGAGCCGAGCCGACAATGTCGACACTCGGCCGCATCGGAAGCGCATCGGTCGCGGACGGAGGACGAATGCGTCGATGAAGATAATGTAATTTGTAACATCGGAAACGATCTATAAACTTGTAATAATTAGTAAGCGTAACATTAAAAAGTAGTTTTTCGGAGAAAGTTGTGAGAGAGGGATACACGCGATCGTTCCGTCCCGCTCTCGCGCCGGAGGAGCGGCCCGGCTTGCGATGACAAGGTTCCACCTGCAACAGCGCTTGCGCCCGCGTCTTCTGCTGCCTTTCAACACCTTATACTTCATTTGTAATTAAACTATAAGTAAATTATGATTAATTAATAAATCGAAATCGAATCCTCGTTTTTCTTTTATCTTTCAACGATTACTGCATGAACTGCAAGTGTTGCCACCGAGAGTGACATGTCCGCATGGATAAGCATTTCTATCAATGATGTGAGAACAACAATTGTGTATTCATTTCATAAATAAATGATTTCTGAATAAAACTCTTTGCTTTATTTGGTACTCATGTTTTGTTAATAATACCTCGATCGAGCCCGTAGTGCCCCCTCTGCATATGTCTCAAGCGCGCATACTAACAACTTATACTTTATTCCTTCATCAACACTCCTCAAACAACATCGCTGTGAAACGAATCTGTAATACTCAGAAATAAAACAAGCAAAAGATATATTTCAACGACTTTTAATAAAATGAACGCAAACAAAAATCAATACACAAGTTCAACGTTGCCATTTGAAATAAATTCCTTTTAAAATTTTTTTTGTCTACAACAAACGCCGTCGTAGCGTAGCACAATAAGAAAAGAAGCTAATTTTAACGAATAGCATTACAGTGCCTCCTTATTATTTTTCGTTTACATTCACCAATAATGTGTAGTATGAGAATGAAGTTTTTATAATCTGAAAACAAAAAATATTATATTAAATTGTACGCGAAGTGTAAGAATAGTTCGGACGGAATTATATGAGCAGCAGCTCACCACTAGGAAGGTGTGGAGGTCCATGGGCAGGAAGTTACCGGCGCGCAGTGCGGCGCCGCGGCCGCTGGCCAGCAGCAGGCCCAGCACCAGCCGCCGCGGCCGCGCCCCCATCGTCTGCCATCCGCTGCCGTACACAGCGCCGCGCACGCGCTCCGCCTGCGCCAACATTACGACAGTCTCTCCTTTGGTCTCGTGTGTTATGCTGAGGCAGTTGCTGTAGCTAACCTGTATGATGATTTGATTGCCAAAGTAGCAGTAAACAAAGATGTCGAGCGCCACGGCCGCCAGGTACTCCACCGTCACCATGTCGAACTTCTGCAATCACGACGTTACCTCACTGACATAAGTAGATACGGTTTGGAACCGCCTCTTAAGATTTCTTCATGCTCGGCTACACTAAAGTATGTATTAGACTAGGCTACGAGGTGTTCGTTAGCGATTAAATATGTGTATGGCATGTGGCGTGTGTGTGTGGTGACCTCTGTGGCGGCGTACAGCAGCGTGCAGAGGTAGAGGGTGACCTGCACGACGCGCAGCGCAAGCAGCGGCGAGGCGAGCGCCTGGAACCGCGCGCGGCACTCGCCGGCCGTCTGCAGCGCCCGTGCGCACTCCGCCAGCGCGCGGCACGTGTCCGCGTCGTACTCCGCTGAGTAGATGTCTGAAACATAAACCAATGTTTACAGTGGACAGTCAAAACATCATCGTAGTATTTATATTTATGAGAATTCTTTTTTCTTACCGAATTCTGTTTTATCTCCTCTAAAATTGGCCTGAGAATTAAAAAATGTATTGAACAAAAACATTTACGTGCAAATAAAATACCACATTTAAGTGTGAACTACGAAATATTACCACCGGCTGATCATAATGGTAACGTGACTCCCTCATCTCGGAGATGTTGTATGAGTACGTGTGTCGCTCGTCATCCAGCACGTGCGTGTGGTGGTGGCTGACGGCGAGCGCGGCGTGATGCACGCCGGCCGCCAACAGCGCGGAGCAGCGCGCGTTGCGCAGCCCGCAGCACGCCATCTCGACCTGCCCGCACAGCAGGATCGCGTGCACCGCAAACAGCACGCCTGACACATGACACCACCACCATGCTTTATCTAACACCGTTCTAGGTAAAGGCTGACGAATATTGTCTGATGCGTACCCAGCTGGCCCACGGCGAGCCCCACGTAAGCCTGGCCCACACATTGCTTCAGGAAGGCGCACACGATGGCAGCCGTTGTCGTCGCATCCATGTAGATCCAGCCCCGCAGCGGCTGCTTCGTCCAAACTTAAAAATTCACAAGCCCGTTATCTCTCTTTACGATTAATAATTATTATTATTGTTATATAATTAAAATGTGCCCGCAAAAGAAATCACTGTGGGATATATTCAACCGTACTCACGATGCGCAATCACAGGCGAGATGACGTACATGGCGACGCTGAAGAGCGTACACGCGGTGTAGAAGTAGGCGAAGTTACGGGCGGCGCGGTAGCTGCGCAGCATGGTCATGTTGGTGAGGCCGCGCGCCGAATGGCAGCGAAAGTGGCCGTCGATGAAGTCGGTGAGGTCGTACAGCTGGCGCTTGCGCAGCGCGAAGTACGTGACGATGGCTAGCGAGGCCAGCAGCGGCAGCAAGTCCGCTAGCTCGTCCAGGCTTGACATCACGTCCTCCCATTCGGTGAGCAGGTGCGTGAGCAGTGTGGCGGGCAGGCTGGCCAGCGCGAACAGCACCAGCGCTAAGTACAGGTAGTTCGACATTACCTCTCGCTCGCACTTCGGCTCCCGGTACCAATCCCAGCACGCAACGAACTTCAACGGCAGTTCCAAGAAGTACGTGTAGTTTGTTATCGTCTCTATATTCAAAGTAGTTTCTTCGCGCCGTTTTTTGAAAGGATTTAAAAACATTTTGTCGATATGAAGACAAAATTCATCACGACAATAGATTTGGTCGTCTTTTATATCTAGTGAAATCAATCAATTATTAAGCCACAAATTAAAGCGGCGTATCATTAGCGGCAATTAACTCTTTCAAAACTTTACAACTTGGAGTCGAGAAGTTGAAAGTTGTTAATTTGAGAAATGTATTTAAGCCCTTAATGAAGCCTCAACTTTTTGACGTCATTAATAATCATGTACAAGGACAATTACCATATAGTTAATTTATAAAGAGGTGCATGTAAAAAAAACAGCGAATACGTTTTATAAGTCACTTTTATTTTATTCATAAAAAATCTAAAATGCCGTCACACTGTGTGTCCCGACTCCGCGTCTCTAAAACAAAATTAAGAAGTCATTTTAACAAATGAACAAGCGGGTCACCATCATGTAGTAGAGAAGTATATTATTATATTAGTAGTATTGTTTGCGTGAGAGTGTCGTACTTCTCCTTGGAGCGCCGATGTGCGATCCTGTAGATGTTGCGCAGCTCGAGCAGCGCGCGCATCACGAGCACCAGCTGCTGCTCGAAGTCGTGCGGCGGCGCATCGGGCGGCATGCGCTTCTGAGCGCAGATCTTGAGGTAGAGGCTGCGCACGGCGGCGCGAACGTGGCACAACTCCACGTGCCGCGCCGCAGCCGCCTCCTTCAGCCGGTTCAGTGCCAGCTCCCACTCGATCACGCGATTCCGCACCTTGTCGTAGCGCCACTGACAACAATACACCCCGATCGTGCTCATCATCTACGCATTGCTCATACCGACGGTTATCGTACAATATCGGCCGTTCTCACCCTTAGGTCAGCGAGCGTGTTGTTGAGGCCCATTATAAAGAGCTTTTTCTCCTCAGTGAGCGCGGCGATCTTCTGACGCGCGTTCTCCAGCATGCCCAGGTCCCGCTCCTGCCGCTCCGCCAGTGTGTTCTTGGCGGCAGCTGTCAAGTGGGCACAATTATAATGTTACTTATATTTCTCCAACAGTAAATATATGTTCGTACTCAGCACTTACCTAAAGCTTCATATCGATTTAATACGTCTAAAGGTTGTTTAAATTCAGGATAATTTCTGACCACTGACATGAGATAGTCCTGAAAACAACAAATATGGATATAAGTTGTGACGCGGGTTGCTGCATCGAAAAAGGGCTAAGGCATGAACGATGCACCTCATATATGGTGTAGTCCTGCACTTGGCGCTCCATCAGCCGCTTCACTTCCTCCATGTCAGCGACGCGGCAGCGCATGGCCTCAGTCTCGCGTGCTTTTCGCAGCAGCACTTGCCCGTCAGCCTCCATCTTACGTTCCGCCCGATCGCGCTTCTCCTGGTTCTCCCTGATGAACTGGTCGAACGACATAGCATTAGTCGACAAAAATTGACAGATACAAGATTCGAATTAGGTTAAAACATCGCCACTGAAAATTTTACCACGTGATTATTCAATAGTATTAGACCAATACTGGTATACCTTATTAAAACTGATAAAGGATTCTTTCAATAACATCTCCTTCTCGCGCAACTCCAGCCACTTGGCGTCCATAATAACCCGGTTGGCCTTCTCCTCCTCACGCTTCAACACGAGCTTCTCGTCGGCCTCCATCAGGTCGCGGCGCGCCTGTTCCATCAACACCTGCGGCGTCGGCCGAGCTATGTCCCATACCGGATACTTCCTAAAATAGACCATCACGGCCACAAAATGAAAGCCGACCACTTACTTGTTTGGGCTTGAACATTTAAAAATGTTTACTTATTATTATATTAACTCTAGCCAACTCTAGAATGTGAAGAAGTCACCTCGTCATGTTTGCCGTTTCCATTTTAGATTTAAAATATTCCGCTGTGGACTCCACAGGCGGACCATGTGGGATTGCGATTGGTGCCAAATCTTTCATTGTATTCTTCTTCATTTTGGTGTACTTTCAAGAAATTTAATATAAATATTGAATATAATAATCTCAAATCATACAAGTATAATCAACCAAGAGTCAACCAGTATCAAAGAGTATAATAAGTATACTATAGAAAGAGGGGCAACTCGCACGAAGTCGTGGATCCACGGCGATTGTGGCGCTCCATGCGTATAATCGCTGAACTTAATTTTTTTTTTTTGGTATCTATATACGTAGGCACGCTTATTTAGCTCACTATAATAATAACTGATAAGTGGGAATCTAATTTATGAAATTAAAATTGACATTAAATCAATGTTCAAAAATAATACACCCACTTATCAGTTATTATTATAGTGAGCCGATATCAAGTAGCCTTCTATGAAATACCTCTATTAAAATGATCCTTTTATTATTGGGGAAATAAAAACAAAATATTTTTATATTTTTGTACATTATTTATTATATTTCTACATAACTTAATTTTAAATCTATGCAAGTACATATACATCAATGACTTTCAAGATATCAGCTCAATATTTTAATATTTAATATATATATTTGAAAATTACATTTACGGTAATAAATAGTATAGCGCGGTCACAAAAAAATGCATACCCTGTAATTAAAACCAACCCCCAAAATATTTTCAGTCACATGCAAGCTGGCAACAGGCAATTTGTAGTTATTTGCGAGTTTAAACACTCTGAACATATTCTCTTACAACATAGGCAAGCAGATTTTTCTTTACATGGACCCACCTACTAATTTCAGACACATCAGTTTATGGCTCTATAATTCCAGTGATTGGCACACATTTTCTGAACTTCACTGACCTTCTCTCAGGAAGGGGGAAACCGTGTATATGTGCACCTACAAAAAACAAACAGAATGTGATTTCTTGTCAAGTATAGGAACTGATATGTAAAATGTATTAGAAGTAGGGCACCATTCAATATGATAACCGGAAAGTATAAATCACTGTGGTGCTAAAAACTACACCAAAATACGAAAATATTTAAATGTTTAAATGAGTCTGACGTATGGGAATAACATGAAAATTTTTATTGAATTGTAACTTACCATAATCAGTCCATCTAAAACACAGTTGCATACAGCGTCGTTTTTCACGAAAACACATTTTAATTAAAAACAAAATGAATGAAACAACATTTAACTAAGAATACAAGAACAGAAATAGAAATACGAAAAAACGTAGCGGTTTGATGACACATGAATGTCTCGATGACAGAAATGATGCTTCTTCTCAGCCATGAGATGAAATGATGTTTACGATTATATAAAAGGTGGCGCCACTTTCCATACAAACCGTCCTTCTTCTAAGTTTCCACCCCCTGACCAGTATGGTTGCCTAGCAATTTTTGTCATCTATAGGGTAACACTAAAAAATGGTGCAATTTTTATCTGTGCTTTTTATACTCTTCCGTTGCTCTTGACTTGTGTCAAATGATTGTCATTGTCAATTCAAACAAATTATACTATAACCTCTTCATTATAAATAAACCGGTGCAATTAGTGCTATTATAATATAAAAATTAACAATTACCATTTACAATCATTGATCTAAAACGTAGAATGGATTTTACTTTCCTTTCAGGGTTAGGATGCGGGATTTGTATTGGAATTTCATTATTTGCACTTAGGAAATACTTAGGCTTCGTAACAAATTCTGTAAAAGCCGTGAAACAGGTGATTTTTCTCACTACTATTTTGCTTTCTGATGATGTGATAATTTTAAGATTTTACTGATGGACAAAAAAAAATCAAATAAAACAAACAAAATAGCTCCTTGTATTTGTAAACATTTAAAAAATGTATAAAATATTTTCTTCACAGTTTGCATCAGACTCTGAATACAAACTTGTTCTAGTGGTAAGAACAGATTTAAACATGGGCAAAGGTAAAATAGCTGCACAGTGCAGTCATGCAGCTGTTGGTGCATTTGAAAAGGCCCAAAAGAAAGATCCCGAAAGTCTTAAAATCTGGCAGAGCACTGGCCAAGCAAAGATAGCACTAAAAACTGATTCCTTAGAAGAAATTAAACAGATAAATGATAATGCAAAGAAATTGGGTCTGATAACATCCATGATTAGAGATGCAGGAAGGACCCAGATAGCTGCAAACTCCATCACAGTACTAGGAGTCGGCCCCGCGCCTAAAGATATTATTGATAAAGTGACAGGACACTTGAAACTACTCTAACATTGTTCTATATGAGAATTCCTCCAATTACATTTATATGTGAATATAAGAAACTAATCATTTTTATTTGAATAAAGTGATTTTTATTTAATCCTTATTTTCTAAAGTAAATAACACATCAGTTCATCATGTTTACCATACAAATCGATGTATGTAGCTTATGCAGAACTAAACCACCGAACACAGCTTGTAATGAGACTAGCAAGATGTGCCAAGACTTTAGTTAAACAGCAGCTTAGGTATATTTTTAACTTTTTGCAAGGTACTAAAACAAATAAAACATGTTTAAAGATATTTATTTATGTTGTAAATTTTGTGAGGCGGCTTCAAAATGGAAAGATTTACTTTGCATTTTTTCTTACATTAATTAATCTCTTACAAATAGGCATTAAAAAACAATACAAAGTTATAAAAAAATTCAGAAACATAAGGAAATTAAAAATTAACATATGTAAGACCTCTTTAACACTAACCACAGTAAAATAACAAAGTTTTGAAGAATATATCATGTTTCCACTGCACTGGTGTTGTCTACAATATTTGCGTAGTGGAAAAGAGGTCTTAGTCGCAGGCCACCATGTTGAACATGGCAGCTAATTCCAAACAATAATAATTTCACATTGCAATTTAGGGAAGACAAAATATTCAAATTACACAAACAAGCTTTTTAACAAAATTGTTACAGTTGTATTCAAATTTACTGATTTTTTTTTTATTAAAGTAATGAAATTTTCATGTTTAAAGTGAAAGAGTGCTGCCAAAAATATATATTATATCAGAACATAATTTAAGCATGTATTTGTATTGTGTGTCAGATTATATCACTGGTTTTTATTAAAAAAAATCTTGTTTGCTTCACAAAAAACTTATAAAAATCATATAGTATAACTAAATTAAAAACATAATAAAAAAACTTGTCTAGCAATGCTAATATTCTTACAACTACAAATACATTACAGTATCATAATCAGAGCAAAACAACAAAAACTTTTGGTGGGTCGTGTTCATAAAGCAATTATTTAATGACACAGAAAATGTTCTCATTTTGGTTGTTGCATGTGACTTTGTGTTTGTCACTCATATTGTTGAGTTTGCCAGTTCAAGATCTAACTAGGGATATTATAAACTATTGGTAATTCTGAAATCAAGTCAAGGTCAATGTAAAGAATATTTAATAAACATTATTTATTAATTTTTTCGTTTTGGTTTATAAGTAAATGAAAACTAAACAAGTGTCCAACATTTCTACCAATTTGAAAATTTCAAAATGTGAAGAAATTAAGTGCATATAAACTTGGTAGATATCCTACTGAATTTTTTTTATGTATAAAAATATATTTTTGGTGTTTGTATTTTTATAAGTTTCAGAGAACATTGTACTTAATACGACTACAAATCTTAATTATACTTAAAAGTAATAAAAAATAAAAAAATGAACTTAAAATAGCGATGAAAATGTTATCAACAAAATGTAACATTTTAATAATAAAGTGTAACTACAACTTGACATTTACAAAAAATTAAAATGTAAAATGTACTTGTATCAAAGAAAAAATGTATTTTCACTAATTTTCTGTATCGAGATATCACTTTTATCTGACTTCAAAAGAAGGAGGTTATCAATTCATCTGCATATTATTAACGTAAATATGTAAAAAATTTGCATCTCTTTTAAAGGATATTTCGCATTTAAAAATTATGTTTTTAGAAAATTGCATAAAACTGCTCTATATAAAAAAGTAAAAACTTTGATTTATATATTTCAATCATCAAATAAGGTGTTTAAAAGTGTACTATTACTACTAAATAGTTATTTACGTAATTTAAACAGTTAAACATATGTTTTATTACGATAACTTTAGCGTAAAAAAATGTATGTAAAAATGCCGCCCTATATGTTATATTTAACCTACACTAAGGCACTCCTTTTAGTTAGCACTTACCAGCATTGTATGGGACGGGACATATATATGTCTGTCCAGTGACAGCAGTATCCCAGTGCGGCAACTGTTGTCAACAGATGCTACTGCGTCTGGTCGCGCGCGAGGCTCTTCTTGAGGTTGTCGATGGCGTGCGTGAGGGTGGCGAGGCAGCCGGCGTACTGGTCTGCGGCGCGCTGGTCCTTGCGCCGCGCCGCCTCCCCCGCGCTCAGCTCCATCATGCGCTGCATCACCTCCAGCCCCGTCACCACTGTCTTCACGCCCTTTATCTGCAGCTGGAATTGTCGACACTTCGTCTTGTCAAACTGAACACTGTTAAAACATATGCAAATCTTCCGACCGAAGTATGTATATGGTGACATGTACAAGCCTCGTTCGTTACATTTCTCACCTTGGGCAGCGTGATGAGCTCCTCGTCGGTCTCGGGCACTTCGATCTTGACCTTCTTGCAGGTGTCCTGGTGCGGGGGCGGCGCGGGGGCGGAGGTGAGGCGGCGCTTGCCCTTGCCCAGCTCCTCCTCGTCGCGGCGCAGGTCGCGCTTCAGGCAGGCGCACACGCGAGCACCCACGCTCTGCCGCCCCAGGATCTGACCGCTGCCATCACACAACACAACTTTTTATACTCTAAAATCTTTTTAATTGCGGAATAAAAGCGCATATAATACTGACAGGTGATCCTCGAGGGTGAAGACGATGGCGGTGTTGCGCCTGTTGATGCCGGAGGAGCAGGAGTTCTTGCAGACGAACTGGTATGCGTGCGGCGCGGGCTGCGGCAGACGCACGAGCACCGAGAGCCAGGAGTCGGGTCGCCGCGCCGCGCCGCAGTAGTGCACGCCCGCCGTGCCCAGCGCGCGCGCAGACCGCAGCACGTTGCGCACTATCGCCTCGTCGCCTGCGCAACACAATTTGCTTGGTTACAATTGTTATGTTACTTGGTGGTCAATCTGCAGTAACATACAGAACAGTGTAAATAGGTAGACTCACCGGGGTTGTTGGGTTCGTGCGCGTGCTGCAGACAGCGCTCGACGCGCTTCTCCGCCTGCGCGTCGTCGGAGAAGACTACGGTGGCCCGCACGTACAGCTCGGCGTGCGGAGAGAGCGCGTGCTGCTTGCGTGTGTCCCACGTGAAGTGCACCGGGAACTCCACGCCCATGTCCACGTAGATGCGGTTCAACCGCGCAGAGTACTGCACCACCACCACCATCACATCATCAACTGTCGTGCTCACACAACATACCGACAGTAATGTATACACAGCATCCTACTATCATACTACGGCTATGCAATATCTCCTATCAATGCCCTACATTTTCTAAGACTTTCATCGGTAACCCGTTTCTTTACTAGACGTAGTTTGTAATATTGCTAATTTGGTATCGTCGTATAATCTACTTTAAATATAATATGAATGTCCCCCACCTTTCCTGTTGTCATTTAGGTAAGTGATTCAGGTGGCACAGTTGCCAAGTGCTGGTGCAACGAGGCTCTTTCAACACGACGCTTTATATCCAGTTAGCGTGTACAAACAAACACATTTTTATATTGTATATAATGTTATAGAAATAAGGAATTTGTCTTTAAAAACATAAATTTCATTTAAAAATCCCGACTGTGTGCGATCATGATTGATCACAAATAATTCGAATCAAATGACTCCACTACAAAATCAGACCATTCTGGCCGTAAGAGTTCATATTACAACTACATTTGCCAGAAAAATATAGTAAAAATTAATAAATTGTTTACTTAGATAAGCAACATGATTACGGCAGACCATTTTATTAGCACATAAACTCTGCTGGATCCATCATAATTCTATACTTAAAGACAATTATTTCTTGTTACTAAAATATACTTGCTACAATATTTAGGCAATTTCTTTGCCTGGTAACATAGCTTATCAGGGGATGATCAATTCCCAGATAGTTACCTACATCATAGTGAGACGACATTTGATGAACATCACATCGTAATATAGGTGTAATACATGAACACAAAAGGGCTATTTTTATTGGAGCCAAATCTACAAAGATAATTGTAAAATAAACAACCATGTTGATAAGATATAGTCATAGTAATCCATCAAGGTTTAGGAATGAGCACAATAACTGTATTAGCTATATCAGCAGTCAGACAACAATCAGCACATAACTGATACAATGATTTTTATATCTGACTGATAATAGAAGTGATTGTACAATTTGAATATTAATCATATTAAAATAAAGTTCTCACGGGTTGTTATGTCAAATCACACTTTTTGAATATAACACAATTTGATTTTACCTTAGCATTTCTGTTTATCTAACATCTAGGATAAAATATAATATTTATAAAAAAATTCCCATTAAAGTATTGAATAACATTTAAACCAAATAATGAAATAACATGAGTTGAGATTCATTGTAGCACTCACCAAGAACTTTTTCTTATCGGTCTCAGAACCTTTTATTTCCACACCAAAATTGAGATATCCAGGAAAGCTTGCTGTCTCCGGAGGTCCTATAGGCGAGGTCTAAAAATGTCTTTACTTTAGCTCACATGATGCAACAGACTAGATTATAACAGATAACAAAAAATAATGAATTCTGGACTAAAACACGCAAATTATTTAGTGATTTTTAGACAAACTAAGCAACACAATCTTAAACTATTTCATTTAAAACTTACTGGAACAAATGTCTCCGTTTCCTGATTAAACTTGACAGCAGCATCTAATGTGTCCTCATCCACAAGAAAGTTTTCCATCACACAGATGTCTGGCATAAATGATATGTCCCTGAAACACAAATCACTATGCTTAAGGTTCAAATTAATTTGACATATAATATGTTTTACTGAAGAAAGTAGTATGTACATAGTACTGAAATTGCTCATTATTACATCATTATATGAGTAAGAAAAATTAACGAAAAAAATTAGAATATAAATTCGCAATGACAAACTTGTACTTGGATAAAAAAATAATATAGTATAAAAACATGTATAATATTTAAAAAAAAAACAATTAAACTCACCCATTGATATGTTTAAAATCCTCCTCACTGAGAAAAGTGCCATTTTCAAATTCTATTTTTTTAAACATGTCAGCTGATTGTTCTTGCATCTGTAATTCATTTATTTTATAACTCTCGATCCTGATGACTTTAATTCTATTGTACTTCTTTGAATATACATAGGCCCATCCAAATATAATCAAAGTTCATTTACGCAATATGATTGGTAAGTTCATTTAATACTATGATTTAATAACAATTCAACAAAAACAAAAATTAAAACACCAATCCTAAATTCAATCTTAGCAAGACAATATTCGTTTAGTAGTGAATTTGCCGATTTTATACTATTTTCTAATTAAGTTATGTTGAAAGTTAACAGTAACTTTCAACAACAACCTTTTACAATTGTTATATGTTAAACTTATAAAAAATGTTACTTTCAATAACGGCAAAACATAGAAACAAATTTTAAAAAGTAAGGTTAAAACAACGTCCCAGGCTAGAATAGCCTTACCTGAAATAACTGTAGCGTAATAAAAAATTAACATAAACTTTAATAATACAATGTTTTAAGAAATGTTTATTCGGATTTCATAGAACATTTACGTAAAATTGCGATAGAAACAAATCTACCAATAAATCATCACAACTTCACAACACAAACTTTTCGAACAAAAGCACAACACACCACAGACAACAGACAAGAAGCAAAATGCAAAATCCAAAATCGAATGAAATTGACAATGAATAAAGTTAAAAAATGTAGATGAAGAACAAGAGAACAAGAATGAAGATGAGTGCAGGTTTCATTGATGATAACGTTTGAGCTAGTTATTACTACTTTTACACCCTTTTTACAAAGGAGCAATTCAAAACATAATAATTAAAATTTAAGAATTAAACGTTGTGACGTTTTTACAACTTTATTGTTGAAAATACACCTATGTGGTTAAATTTCCGAGGTAGAGGTAGCTCTTTAATTTTTAAACTATTAGTTGGTAACAGTTGGTAGTTTTAAACTTATGAAACTATTATTTTACAGTTTTTATTGTATTTTTATTTTAAGATACTGAAAAAAATATCGGACAAAAGTGTACAACAAATAGTATATAAAATGTACAAAAGTTTGTGGTTCAGAATTTTTCATCTGTACCAAAGGATTACCATAACTAAAAAAGCAAAGTTAACAAAGTATGAAAAAAATATACGAACTACGAACGCTTCACTTGTGTTTTTTTATAATTTTACTGTCATTAAAACTGATAATTTGATGCATTATTCGTATGCAACAGATATTTTGACATAATATTGTATTCTATTATGTGATTCTATAGTGTGTTAGTGCATTCAAGTGCGAGTTCTAACTAAAATCAATAATAATCAGTGACCAACAAAGGTACGCTGTGTTTGCTATTACTGAGCGTATAACCTGTGTTTAAGCTGGCGTCCGGTTGGCGTCTGAGAGTTAACACGAAAGTATCCAATAAGTGTTATTTTGTTGCCCGAGATGCGTGGAAATGGGTTTTTGTACCACAACATATAGTACCATTATAAGCGGTTTCTGTTTGTAGTGATCAAGATGAATTATGATGCAGAAAGAGCGATGAATCAAAAGCGATTGAGGATGGAGGGAGAACCGGGGCACGGTGTCGTGCAAGGAAATGGATTACCACTTAATTATATAGGTAGGTTTAGTTTCGTAAAATTTGAGCGGGAAAAGCGTACGGAACGATTGTTGTAATAATATATTTTGTTTTTGTAGATAATGGTCATCAGATACCGTACCAACCGTATGCGGGCGCTTACAACACTCATTACCCTCCGCCCGATGCTTTCGCGGCATACGGGCCTCCACCCCCGGGCGGCTATGCCCCGCAGAATCTGTCGTACGCGCCGCCCGCGCACCAAAACTACGCTCATCACCAGAGCTTTCCGCCGCAACAGCCGCCTCAGGCGCAGTTACATATGCCTCAGTCACATATGGGTATATGCACATATATTAAAAATATATTTTCGTATTTTTACTGCTACTAACAATATTTACCAAACAATGTCTATGAAATTTATGCATATAAAATATGCAAGTATAGTGTAACCTATCAGTAACATAGCAGTCTCCTTCTCAGTTCTATATGAAATTGTCATGTAACAAATAATTATAAAATCTCATATTTTTGAATGTATTTGTTTTTAAAATATATTTTAATTATTTTATTTCAGTGCAAGGTTATGGGCCGGAGGTTGTGCACAAACCAGCTTGGGCACCACAGCCACAGCTCCTCCCCCCACTGGATGCACAGAAACCACTTGATATCAAACACCTTAAGCCTGAGATCAAACTGGAGCCTACTGATGCACACAAACGGTCACATCCTGAAGCAGAAATAATGGTAAATGATTACACACAAACTGTTTATTACTTATTAGTGGAAGACAATACTCACTTTGTATACATTGCATATCCATTTTTATGCACTAACTAATGTCAGATATTTTCATCATAGTGCAATTATAACTTTATGTTAAAAAATAACAATATTTCTAGTTAATAGATAGTTTTGAAAGATTATATTTGTTTTAATTTTCATCATTTCTAGAGCGGTGATCTGGATCAGCCAAAAATAAAAATAAAAACAGATATATTCAAGCCGGACGACCTTGTTCACAGACCTGATATAGAGAAGCCACACGGTAAGTTTGGATTTGTAAGTTTGTATAATATTAATATATATTAAAGAAAAAATGAAAGTGATTACAATAATCAAATTTTCAGATATATCTCAGAAGGTAATAGATGTACAGAAAGCACCAGAATTATTGCAAAACAAAGGTTAGCCATCTTAAATATTGTAAATGTACATAAAAATGGAATATATTCATAATGATACATAATGAAATCAAAGTATACAAATGTATTTCAGATGAAAGTCAAACACAGTTGAGGACGGACAGTATAGTGGGGGATAAAATTATTGGTGAGTATCAAATTGTGATTATGCATTTGTTGCGTTCACGTACCGACACGTGTTGCCCTCTCTCCGGCATGTACTTGTGATGTGTACACTCGAGACAAACAACAATACATTTATATATACACTACAGTAATAAATGACTAATTTTGCTACTGTTTAAATATTTACTAATAAATGAAATTGATGTTACCATCTCAGAAGCAGCAAAACTAGAAGGTGTAGACAAAATGTGCGGCGAGCTACCGCGTCCCGCCATGCCTGTAGCCCTCGCCGCGCCCGCACCTACCCCGCTCGACAAGTGGTCAGTCTGAAACTATAATATACATATTTTCAATCTCTAGTTATTTCTATAAAATGATAACACACACATAAAAGTACATAACAAATTATACTTGTTATTTGTAGTGAAGAAGACAGGAAACCATTCAGCAGTCCCGACATTCCGAAGCCCGGCGCCGCCATGACCCCCGGCAAGATCACCACGCCCGGCCTGGAGGTACTCACAATATACATTTATATTCAGTGGTAAATTAAATATATATTTATGTTATTTGTTCTTTATTATGAAAGCCGAAGAAGCGCGGTCGTCCAAAAGGTTCAACGAACAAGCCGAAGCCGCCGGGCACCCCGCTGCGGGCCTCCGCCCCGGGGCCGGGCGTCTCTCCCCTGCGCGGCGCCGCCCCACCGCCCCGCGCACCACTCCCCGCGCCACGCCCCCGCAACCCCGCCTACCAGTTCGCGGTGCGACCCTGCAGGAAAGATTTCTCAGGGATACAGTTTAAAAGGTTTGTGCAAACGATTACCTTTTTGAATTGTAGTGTGATATAGTTTTAGATGATGATATGTAAAGTTGTGTCGCGCGCGCGCAGGCGGTGGAGCGACGACTGCCTGGACTCGTCGCACATCCCCAACGAGGTGTACTTCGGTGACGTGCCGGTGCCGCTCTCCGTGTTGTACAACTACTACGACGCGAACGCGGAGCGCGAGCGGCTGGCGGCGCAGGCTGCGCACATCGCCGCGCAGAAGGCCGCCGCCGCCAAGCTCGCCGCCGCCAAGATGCACCAGCGCCCGCTCGGACCGCTCGGACCATCGGCTGAGGTCTCACATCTTCCTCTGAACATCCCAAAAGATAGATTCTATCCCGTCTGTGTGTTTGCTAAATTGAAATGTCGCTAGCAGGTGACGACGGTGGACTCGTCGTCGGACGACGACTCGACCGGCTCGTCCGGCAGCGACTCGGGAGATAGCGACGATGTAAGTATATCCATGTATTCCTTGTAACTAAACTGAAATATATTTCATTCAAATATACTACTTCATTTAACAAATTTCCATCGTCCTCGTAGGATCAGCCCCTGAAGCGCGGGCCGGGTCGGCCGAAGGGGTCGAAGAACTCGACGCCGCGTACGCCGAGCGCGCCGGGGAGCGGGGCGGCGACGGGCACGACGGGCCGCCGCGGCCGCCCCCCCGTCCCGCCCGAGCTGCGCCAGCCCGGCATCACAGATATGAAGAAGTTCTGCAAGGCCGCCGGAATACGCTTCGACTACAAGAAGCTCGTCGAAGGTCACTCTTATGACATACCGACTCTGAATTTATTATGATCATTTGCATCGGATCTCGCCGAGCTAAGTTCAATGATGAACCGTTACTTAGTGTCGTTTGTGCGTGTTCAGGGTGCACAAAGAACAAGGAGCGCGTGGCGAAGATGCAGGAGCTGCTGGAGGCGGCGGGGCTGCAGGGCAAGCCCACGCTGGAGGCCTGCCGCGCCCTCAAGCAGGCGAAGCTCGACCGCAAGCAGCAGCAGCAGCAGGCCAAGAGGGAGGCCAAGGCCAAGCACAAACAGGAGGACTGTAAGTGAACGATACCGTCGCCACGTATGGAGGCGTTTGAAAACATTTGTAACATAGCAATGTATATATAATATGTTGTGTCGCAGCGGAGGGCGGCGAGGGCGGGGAGGGCGAGGGAGGCGCGGTGTCGCGGCGCATGACGCGCGGCGCCACCGGGGTGAAGCCGCGGCAACGCATCGTGATATCCTCGGACGAGGAGGACGACACGCCGGCCGCGCGCCGCACGCTCTCCAAGCTGCGCTCCAGCGTCAACGACCACTCAGATTCCGACTAGGTGTGTGCGAACATGCTTCTGCACTTGTCCCACTTTTCTAATTTAGATTATATAATACAAATTGTGCTAAAATTTATTCAAACCAATTTTGAAATCCATTGCTTGTTAATTATTCCAGGTACATCGGGTGAGCGGGGTGTGCGGGGTGTGCGGGGTGCGATAGTGCCGGCGGGGCGCTGCGGCTGAGCGCGGCGGGGCGCTGCGTCTGAGCGCGCTCGGCGCAACAAGAACCTTCTAGAAAGTGCTTCGACGAGGTTTCCAGTGCCTCTCAAAGACAACGGTCGTGTGAACAGTGTCGCACAACAGTTTCCTACTAATTTTAGGTTATTTGGTGAAAATGAAGTGCAGAACATAATATGTGGACGTAGTGTAGTGAAGTGCTCCCAACTGCTTTTTGTTGTAAGTACACTTTTCTTTATGAATTCATTTATTTTCTCCATCTGTTACATAGAAATATGTATCACTGTAGAAGTGGATGACTACATCTACAATGTCCACGGTGCTCACTGTTAACTATATACCTATAATCTGTGAACAGATGTTATCTAACAAAGCACCATTATGTAGCAAACATTATAAAATGTTCATTTATTTTTCTGTTCACTTCAAATATATAAAAGCAGCTAAATCATAATTTGTGTGTGTATTAATTTAATATATTGTTGTAAAGTTTAAAGTACAAGTGTGTGTATGTATGTTTTTATTTATATGTATTATATATAACGCACAATGATATAACATCTATATGTTTAAACTTTATTGCATCAACAACTCAAACATATTGACATTCAAATATAACATTTTATTTTTTTATTTCATCAATAAAATCACAACAAAATAAATTTTATCATTAAATTATTTATAAATAAAAGATTTTTTACATAGATTAACATTATAATAATTAATATAAAATATATTTTGATGTTTTTGTAAAGAAGTCATCAGTCACGGGACAAACACTTCTGATGTTTTTCTTTTTTAATGTTATTAAGACGTCCAAACTTATTAAAACATTATACACATAGAAAGTTTATTGATATTAATTAGAAAGACGTTAGATTGTAAACTGACGTGTCAAAGTTAATGTCGGAAAATAGATTTTAGTAGACATTGCAGCGATTAGCAAGTATGGGAAGAAGACATTTTTAGGTCGGATGGTGTTTTGGCGTAGATTCGCGACGGCTCGTATACATTTACAAATAGATATAGTATTGAGATGATACAGTAAGTGCAGGACGCGTACACTTTTACGTACGCGCCGATGTTAGTTAGGGGCTAGATGACTCGAGTAGTGACCAGTAGGACTTGACCCCTCGCCTCCGTAGCCGGCGTGGCGTGTCCTCACACAACATGTGCAAGTGACGCGCCACGCCTCTATATTATAGTTATTTTCATTGAATAGCAGAATATTATATATTATTTGTAGTGAATAAAAATTTTATACTACTAGTTTTAAAAAATGAGAAATTTTTATTAGAGATATGAATAAATTGGTAACACCAAGTCTAGATGTAGCTCTGTACATAGTAAGCTAAGTGAAGCCTAAGTGACGTAAGTTAGGTGTACTTTTGTACAGGCGCGAGCGAGCGCGACGTGTAAATAAGCCGAGAGGGAGGGAGAGAGAGGGGGGGGGAGGTGCTAGGCTAAGCAAAGTGTTCATAATATAAGCAATATTCAAAGTTTATCGAGTATATGTAATGAATAGATAGAGATAATAGATTGTCTAACTGTTTACTTCATAGAATTGGTCATTATAAAACTCCTACAGTACGCACACCATCGAGAAAACGGTTATTATGTTGTCAAAGGAATGTCTATAGTGTAAAGTTACGTGAATATTTGCTACATTATGTTTTTTGTGATGAAATTTTATGTTTTTTTTTAAAGTATCTATCAGTTACCTTTTATTGTATTTCATAGTGTTGTTTTAATATGAGTTTAACTTCAATTGGTAATAACTAAATTGTATAAACCAGTAACCTAGCTCAAAGCTGTCTATATAATTTAAAAAAAAATCTGCAACATACTACAGTTACTTTGGTAAATTTATAATGAAATAACTGAATATTTATTTGTATTTATTATTTTGGATAATATTTACTTGGCACAACACCCTGCACGTAGACCACAATTTGACTCAAATGAATCTTGTTTTTTTTTATAAACTTTCTCATAAAAGAGACATTGTGTATTGACATGTCAATGTACTGCAGAATCACAATATCAGTAAAGTTTATCAAATGTGTACATACTAGTTTATCTAGTTGTAAGGTTAAATATAATTTTTGAGAGATGTGTAGCGCAGAGATGCGTCAGGACATGTGTGTATGTGCGTGCGTGTGTGCGTGTGTGCGTGTGTGTACATAATGCCTAGATAATAAAGCAACGCCTACTTAGGTGCCTATTTAGTGTTGTTGGTTGATTTTAGTCAACTATATTTTTATATGTCAAGGTCATGTTAAAATACTTGCAAAAAATCATGTTTTTTGTTAATAAATAAAAACACGTAAATGTAACGTCTGATCAATGACAGCGGTCATACAAACCAGTAGATGGCGCTGCCAGAACTTCTCGGACCAGTTTAATAAATCAAATTCATTTTATTTGTTTATTGCTTTAATATAATAAACAGATTAACTGTTTTTTGATGAGTTAAAAGAAATCAATGCATTTGACTACATTTATCATATTATAATAAATGTTTAAGTGAGATTTTAACACGACCCGGACATCAAATATTGCATATATTTTTTAGATTAAGGGAAAAATAATTGAGACATTTTTTTATTGAAAAGCAAATGTTGAATGCAATAATTTGCATACATATCCCTCGCAGTGTGATGAGGCAACATCATATACACTAACTATTATACTGTTTTATTGTATTTTCTTTAACAACATTAAGATTTGTTTCTTTATCATAATATTTATTAAGCAGCTTTTATTTTTAAATTATACAATGTACTGTTCGTGCGATATTTGTAAAGGTGATTATAGACTGGAGCATTTACTTGTAACAGAACAACAAGCCACTCCATATGTTCTAGTGCAGTGGTTCCCAAACTTACTTTGTCTACTGCTCACTTTGAGAATAAATATTTTTTTAGCGCCCCCATATTTTCACATATTTAAAAACCACTATAACTTCAAACTAAATTAATTATTGTGACCTATATATGTGTATTAACGGATAATTGTAAAGGAAACTTTTACTATAACCAGCAACTTGGAACCTGCAGCGCCCACAAGGGGGCGTTATCACCCACTTTGTGAAAGACTGTTCCAGTGTATGACACTCTCATAAACCACCACATGCTTTGGAAACTCTATTTTTACCTTTATTATACCATTTGTAAGAATGTTACATTACATAGAAATACTTGACAAAATGCTCTTGTGTATATTCACCTCAAGTGGTTTCCATTGCTGAAAACATTCACATAAACACGTGATAATGCTTGCTGTATGAGAGACATGTTTTATGTAAATGTTTTCTGTAATGCAAACTCACGGGAATTATCTAAATTTTTGATATGTTTTTAAAATGAAATCAGAATCATATAAATAAAGAATGCTTCCATTATGCATAGTGCCCTGTAAGTGCCTCACTTGATGTTTGTCGGTCATTGTTGTTGAAAATAAACAACATTTTTCTTAATTAAATTGTAATCAAGTTGTCAATGCAAGCTAACCTTTTTTGTAAACTATTTTAACATTGTGAGGATTTCTGTTTTTTTATTTTTATTTAAGGAGCATTTATAATTACTTTGGAAAATATTAGAAATAGGGAAGGAACAACCTTTTTGATAAACATCAAATTTGTAGTTACACACAGAGAGTAGGATTTCTCGTCAACTCAAATAGAATTCGATATCTTTCAGGTCATTGTTTAAATATCTTCGTCCCTATTATTAATATTTGTATGAGTTGTGGAAATAATTTGTATGAAGTCGACTGAAGTTCGTGTCTAAATTTTAAATCAACATGCGATATTATAAAGTGATAATGATTGTGTTTGAGTGCGGGGGGGGAGTGGGGAGCGGAGTGCGGGGGGGGGGAGCTCGGATTTTTGTAATATAGTTTAATATTTCGTATGTAGAATGCCATATTGTGATTAGATCGTTAGCTACACGAAGTATTTTTTAAATAAAACATCTATGTATACATGACACTTCGTTTTTATTCTCACTTCTCCCTTTCTTAACATTTGACATTATAGATGGCAGCACTTATCGTGTCTTGTTAGATCAGTTACAGAGACGGTTTTAAAATTTTATAAAAAAAATTAAAAAAAATCACTGATGGAGATTCATTATCACACTTTACAATACAGTTGTCTGCTTCGTACAGACAGACAGTTTTCTATAATGATTTTCCATTTAATGGCTGGACTTCTCCGTATCACTGAGTCATCGACGAGTGCTCTTGAAATTATATCGGGAATGTTTCAATTAGCAATATTCATTGAGTAGATCACCTCAACACGTGGAATCTTCATAAAATAGGATATGAAAAGGGAAAAAATGTAAACGGGTCTCTTGGGCCGAAAAAAAATCAAGATTATAATAATACAACAGCCTTCCTACAAACATTAAAAAAAATAGTTTTTGTTATAAATAACGAAAATACATCATGTGCACGAACTACAAACTTATTTTATAATATTACATAGAGACAATCCAATTTTATAAACTGTGCAAATAGATTTATTTGAATCTCTATGCTATCCATTGAGAAACTGAGGGTGTAGCACGAATGTTTGAGACAATCGCTATCATATCGTCATCGACAAAATTTGTGCAGCGCGCAGCGTATCAGGCGTAAGTACACCAAAAATCTCATACTAATATTGACAAAGTTGACGATGACGATAGGACAACGATTGTCGCAAATATTCGCGCTAGGCGGTCCACTGTGCAAATTGTTGACAGCCATACGTAAATGTGGACAACCAGGTAAACACGTGAAAACCCAGTGTTAATTACATATGGGGAAAATTTGGTGAGGTTCATGTTAGTAATGGGGAATCTCACGTCCTCGCTACTGTGAGGTGCTTGACTCGAGTGTCACTACTTATGTATCATTTGTTCAAATTGTAATGTTACATCATTATCCTTATTCAATAGTCACAATATTACTCAATTGAATACAGTAGAACTTGAAAAAGAGAGAAACCTCTACAAGCGAGAGTCATTGTCCTGTCCGACGGACGACCTCCTTAAGTCAGAAAATTAGGACCCTCTTAAAGCGAGAAAAATATCGCGGCCCCTTAGACTTTCTCTTATCCACGAGGGCCTAGCACGGATATTTTCCAAACCCGCCTTCGAAACGTCATCGAAAAAACGTCAAAATTTTTAGGATATTTGTTGGTGTACATTACACCCGTTAGGGGGCGCTGCACAAATTTTGTCATACTCACGAATATTCATGGGAGACTCTCTGATTGTTCCTTACATTGCTAATTGTATGCATTTAGTAAGCAATAGACGCGTTTCATAATACATATGTAGAATTGTGTCTGCGGCAAGCGGGAAGGCAGCGCAGCTACAGTTAGCTCTACGATGTCGCGTCGTTGCGCTGCGCTGCGGTTACCTACTTACAGATCTGTCTGCTCTTACTCTTCTCCTAGATATCCATTACAGTAACTTAATAAAACATTGGAACTAATTAATATGCAAACGGTTTTTTATTGTTATCAGAATTTTCCGGTAATTTCAGTAATATTTTTGCGCTCGGACGTTGACGTTTTACTTTTTTATATATTAAATGCTTTTTGCAATTCCGCCCTTTGAGTTCATTGACCAGGCTTCAACGTATGATGACCTACATTTGGGATAAGGCATTTTGTACCTTCGGCCGATACAGGTATGGCTTATATTGCTCCGCGACGTGTGCAACTTGCGCCGGCATCTGAGGGAAACTGAATTAATAAAATATGGCCGCTCTGGTCGCGTATATTGACCAATATTCTTTTTTCACGCTGTTACGCACATTTATTCGCAATTTTAAGTTATCACGATGTGGTCAACTTATTATAGTATAACGCGTTGTTAATTTTAGCAATTGCTTAGGACAACAAAAATTAATTCTTTTTAGAAGGAACAGCACTTTTTTTTTTCAAATAATTCATATTGATGTCAAGTGTGGACTCGACACACGTAACATTGTCCGATGCCAAGTTTTTGTAGGAAAACTGAGATATGTGTCAGTCGCGGCCGCTTAATAACTTCACTTATGTAACAGAGGAGACATCATTACACTTCACAGTATGATGTACTTTTCATTCTACGCGAACTAGGACCATTGCATCTATAGCAAATACTCATTTTATTAGTATTTCTGGGTATGGAACTGAGTGCAATTTTTGTTTGTTATTGCTTATTATTCTGCCGCCTTGCATTTTGTTTTATTGTTCAATGGAAACTGATGTTTAGTTTCGTATAAGTGGCTGCTGCCTGTAAAGCTCTATATTGATTACAATGTATTGCTATCTATCAAAACTACTCTTCTGTATTAACTTCCTCTCATCATTGTAGGTGTTTGTACTGTTCAGTTGGAAGTCGAATGATGTCCGCGGTGGCGGCGGCATGCGGCGGCCTACCGCAAGTGCATTCCTGATGAACCACCGGTCCATCGGCTGCAGCCGACAGCCGTCAGCCGACAGCCGCGCTCCTATCCCAGCTCGTGCTGTTACGTAACGAGCTCCTCGCCGCGCAGCCAATGGCGGCGCCGCCCGCCGACACACCCCCCGGCGTGCGCTCCCCGCCCGGCCCCCGCGACCCCCGCTAGGTGCGCGCGCCGCCGCATCGAGCGCACCGCGGCCGCACGTCATCCAGTTGTCAGCCGGCTGCCGCACACGGTGGTCGCGTCGCAGTCGAATCGAGTACCGTGCGCGGAGTTCTCACGATGGCCCTGCTGCGCCGCCTGGCCACGAACGCGCCCCGGGGCCTCCGGGCGTTCTCCTCGTCGCCCCGGACCACCGACGATCTCGACCTCACCTTCAACAGCCCCCGCGACGCTTTCAAGAGCAAGAAAACCAGCGAACTGGTGCGGGCGTACCTCGTCTACCAGATATGCTCGATCAACTGGATCGTCGAGAACAACGACATGGTGAGTGCGAGGGGATCGATGGCTCGCTCTTACGTAAGGCGAGCGGCGTATTGTTAGCGCGGTTGTAAGACGCCTCTAAAATTAACCGGTAGTCGTATCCTTGAATTTGATTCGGCGGCGCAGCGCGCGACACGGCCGCGGCCCCACGTGGTGCTATGCGGGCACGTCAGCGGCTCGCCGCGCCGGCTGGACTATGCTTTTGTCATCTCCAAGATGTTACGTTACGTAAACGGAGAGTCTCCCCATCTTTAACTGTTGTCTCGGGCGGGTCTTAACACGAACATTTTAACACTCAACTACCGCAAACTGTTTGTCAGTCTTGATTTTCCGTATATGACCGCAGCCAGTTACGATCAATTTGTGGTTTTTGAATGAAAATGTATGGTTGCGTCGGCTTATGGTGTGGATGTGGGTCGCGCATGCGCCGGGCCCCTGAGGCCGAGCAAAAACTTGTCCAGTATTATATGTGACGGGCCAGGGTGGAATGATCTCGCGTTACATAAAACCTGAGCGTGCGGTTGCGGCGCGGTGTGCCGGTCGCGGGCGTGGTGAATGGCGCCGGTACTCGTATCAATGGCATTTGTGCGACGCCGGCTGCCGTCTGCCCACTGCCCACTGCCGCTGCAGCCGTGCGAACTGACAACTTGTACAAACATGGAGGAAAAACGAGAAACGAGTCGATTCGAGCGATCATTCTAGCGTCTGATTTGTCTGACTCTAGATTTAATTTATTAGAGATCTCCGATATGTTTATCACATTTAAAAAAATATACGTGTACTGCATGAATAAAACAAAATACATCAATGTACATACGACGGCAAGTGTAAAAATATTCAGACGTAATTGCAATATGTCCCTGGAACAGTGGATTATAAAGTTGAATTTTGTCCAATTCAATTCGAATGACGTCTTTATTTACTAATAAATAACACCCAAAGTAAATAAGGTTTGTTGAAGCAGCGACCTAGAAATATTCACGAATGTTTAATTGTTTCAAAATATTTTCACAGCGATTGTATAAACGCGAAAGTCGTAAGATTTATTTCTTCCTGAAAACCTAAATCCTGTTTTTTATTATAACAACTATATTCGTCTATGGTAGGCAGAGATTATTTTGCGTGATCTTAGGTTCATTTGTGCGCTGGTTTACCTACGTTACTATTAAAGCTACAAATATCTTTGTTGACGACTTTCAGCAGTAGAACTATTCTTCTGAAAATATAGATTTTTTGAAAATGGTTTTGCTAAAATATGTTAAAACCCCCAATTTAAGAAATGACCGCTACTGTATCTGTACGTCACTTTGGTGTAGAAGTCGTGAGCGCGTGTATACATATTTAAGTTTCTATAATGTATATAGTAAAATATATTTAGTTTTGTTAGTAACACAGCCATGAATCACGTAATTCGCAACTTATGTAATACTTAATGACCCACGGAAAAATGCTTCGTTATGTAAACGGCAAACGCGTCGGCGGCGGCGTGGGCTCTGCAGTGCCCTTACACAAATCTGAAACTAATTCCTTCAAATTATCAGCTGAATAATTATTGTTACATGACTCTAGTAGACTAAATAATTTACGTACTACACTGGTCTCACAACGTCGTACATACATATGAATAAAGTTGGGGTGTCCGTCAAATTAAAAAAAAACCCAAATCTATGTACTCCAGTTTTTTTGCTGTCTATTATTCCTCAAATCTGCAATTTCCGGGTAATCTCCGAAAAGGCTGGTCCTTTTTGACAGGTCTTTGATGGGAAGGTAGCTGATGCATGCCGGCATACTATAAATTATTTCTCCTCCGCGCTGACAAAGTCGCGGGCGACAGCCAGTCAGCATCTAAAATTGCCTACTGTGAGCACACATTCATAAAGCTTTAGTTTACCTACGTGCTTTATCTACGTCTTGAATGCGAAAGTCTGAGGACTGATAGCTGCGACTTACTACTGATTAAACATTGTCGCACTGAGCTGCAGTGACCACCACACACCGCACACCGCACACATGACTCACCGCACAGTCTGCCGCGCGTCTGACTTCTTATCTAACACTATCTACACCAAATAATACTTTTATGCAATATTATTTATTTAATATACAATCTCCACGCGCCGGATGATTGTTCTTTTATATAAACAATAAATGTTTCAGTAAACAAACATAATTTCAATCTTTTAAGTATGTAATAAAAATGTAAATTATTTATTCAACTGTAATTGAATAAATATCATTTCTTACGTTTATTTTATGTCCAGTCATTCTACGTTATTAATACATAACAAAATCTGATCATAGAGAATTCGGATCACACTGTACAGTCGCCTTCGCTCTCGGTATATCATGCACGTTAGCATGGAGAATTTAAAATTGTGTTCAACATCGAAGCGAACTTAATAGGTACCTAGCGACGTCTTAATTAAACAATTATAGGTAACATTTACTGTACCCTTGAATTCGTTATTGTTACAAAATTTAAGGACCTTTCATCCTAGCACGAATATTTATGACAATGACCATCGTATCCTTATCAACAACATTTGTATTATAATCGGAAATAAAGTACGCCAAAAATGTCATACTAATTTTGACATAATTGACGATGACGAAACGTACATATGGAAGAGAGAGAGAACATGTCCACGTCTCTGTGGTTACGAGTGTCAGCCATCGACAACACCGACGACGAGGTGTCACGCTAACGAATCGTGTTAATTTCTGTAAATAAAAAACAGGTAATGCAAATATCAGTCGCGACGTTCTGAGAATGTCTAATGTCATAAAAGTATGTAATATTTGCACGGGCTAATAAATAGTAGTTGAGTGGAATTGGGCTTTCTTTTATTGTTGTTTAAGATTAATGTTTGTTATTTTATTCTGTGTAACTGACGATGACTTTTAAACAAAAACGATAGTGAGATATGTCGTCTCAGACTTAACGGCGTCCCTGTAGAGGAAAATAAATTAAGCAGATAACACATTTCTTCGTAACTTTGTTATCTGTCCTATAGGAAGGCAAGAGACTGGTCAATATATTTAGGTGATCGAAAATTAATGCTTAAATCGAGAATAGATTTCAAATCAAGCTTATGTTAATTATAACAAAAGATGAATATATTTATTTGTGTACAGATTTAGCTTAAACACAGCTTGTTCCGGATGTGCAGTTATAAGAATTAAGCTGGCTTCACTTCATCTACAGATGGCTACAGCCAAAATTCACATTAACAGTAGCGACGGTAGGGTAGAGTGAGATAGGGCGACCGCCCAGGGCGCCAGGAATAAGGGGGCAGCGTAGGATATAAAGCGGCACCTGCGGTACCCCGTCTTTGCAAGATTTCCCATGACACCAAAAATCTCTCTCAGGGCGTATGAAGACTGTTGGCCAATATGAAAGCAATGCGCGATTCTTTTTTTTTGCATTTTACCACTTTGGGTTAAACAGATACGAAAGCTTATCTTAAGCTCGAAGATATTTACATTTATGCATTTAACATAATAGTTTTCACTTTATTTAACCTCTACGGGACATTGATTGGACTGTGGTCAGCTTTACCACACGATATTGGTTCATGTTTAAAAGGAAAAAAACGAGATTAAACTGGTTTCTGTCGATCTACGAACTTGAATTACATGGATAAATCATTAGTATGCGAAACTAACAACATGTAAACAAGTTTCATATTGAGGTATCCCGGTGGTGCGACATCGCCGCGCCGGGAGCTTAGTGATGAGGTGATTACTTGGAATTATTCCAGCGGGAGATTTCACTATCGTTCAATGCGACATTTACTGTTTGTTATAATAATATTTTCGTGTCACCAATCAATTGTAATCTTATCGTCGTCCTGTCTTTTTCTCTACAGAGCCTTCTTCTTTACCATAGTATTAACTACTCTTACATACATTTGTTATATAAGAGAGCTAGAAATCTGTGCGTTTCATTACCGGTACATTCTAGAAAGATGTAAATTACTTTATAAATATACTGTTGAGTTCAAAGTCAAGGTCGTCCGAATTTAACGAGTTTACATAACTTATTAGCATAGTTGTGCCCTAAATGTCTTAAACATAATCAGTTGTAGTAATAGGAATTAACACAAATGTGATATATTTGTACGAATCTTGATTTTTTCCATACCGGGCGAACAAATATTTGTCGTCATGTCGGTCGAATTCATTTTGTTGTTGTGTTAAACGAACACATGTATAAAAGTGTTTTATATTTTACGTGAACATCATATTGACATTATCTAATTTCGTGTGAATAAGTTTTTTCTAGCATGTTCTAGACTTAGATGTAACTTTTCTGCTGAGCCGTCTCATTCTTTCATCACGCATCTGCACTTTTGTGATCGTCGTAACTTTGTTGTGAATAAAACTAGCATTGGATTTTACACAATGAATGGGGAACAAGACTCTTTATCATGTAACATTACAGTACATTTTCCCTGTAAAATCCATCTTGCGCCGGCACTGGGTACTGTACAACCACAAGCAAGGTAAAATAACTTATTATAATTGTAAGCATATGTTTATGACGAAATTGTAACTGTGTCATTACAACATGACATTTCATTAGTTACTCAACAGTCCGGGTAAATCCTAGATAAGTCAGCAATGCCTAGATATATTTTAATGAGCCGATTTTAATAACTAGGTTCTGTTTTTTTGTCAGACTAATGTCGCATGCATAATTATCTCACACGACCGTAAGTATGAAAAAGGGAAAGGAGATAATACTTTTTCTAATATCTTTTTATCCATTGGCATGACAAGGCAAGATGGCGACGAGCCAATTACAATGCGCCAGGAGTTTCACTTTCGCACAGACAAGGGGCGCGCGCCTCGCGCTCTGATGACAGATGATTCAATGCGCGTGCGGCGTCTTTTTACCTAGCTATTTGATTTATTAAGATTTTCTAAATGTGCCTTCTTAAATTGCCCGGGCATTTCTTAACACCAATAAGTCACATAACAAGAAATTGTTCCTCAAATGACGTAGCTTACGTTAACAACTATGAATAGGGTAGGATAATTAATAATCTGCGCTACTGGTGCCGAATTTGTCTTATAGGAATAATTTGAAGGGTTTTTGTGTGAAATCCTACATCATTGCTAGTTGAAGCGACGACATCGATTGACGTCAATAATTTACAAAGTGGTGTGCGCAGGGGGAAGCGCGAGGGGCGAGAGGCGAGTGGGGTAGTGTTATGTAAGTGTTGCGGCCGGCGACCGACGACCGCGGGCTCATTCAGCTGGTCACACAATCGTCGCCGGTTGAGAGCTGTGACGTTGGCGACGTATTGTGTTCTCGACACTTGCCTTTATCGCAAAACAATTGAATACGCATTTTCAAGGCACCTTTTTTGAACCAATAATGATGCGACGTCACGTCTGTATCATGTATTAACATACCAACATGTTACCTTCAATGTCGTTGAGGTTATTTAAGAAACAAGGTGTATTAATAGATCGGTTTGAAGATGATTGATGAACCACTTAACATATTTATTATAATTACGCGAGAAAACATTTCATCACATAATATGTAGGCGCGGTTCATATTTCATACAATAATTTTATAAACTATTTTTATAAAAAACGACAGTCGGTAATTTAAAAATTTTAAAAAATAAATCTTCGAACTGTTCCATTGTGTACAAACCGACAAGGCTGTTTAAACTGATGGGTGTAAGTCTCACTAAATGATGACACCTTACTAGCGCTCTCTTATCAACGACAAAAAATGTCACAAAATCCTCTTTGTAGCTGTTACGTCATTTTGTATGTTAGACATAGGTTTTATATATATTCCGACAGAACCAACTACGAAGCAGCGTCACTCTCACCGGTTCAGATATCTTTGTTAGAGTATACAATGTTAATGGGCTTCAGTAAACTTCTAATGTGAGATTAGTATTTTATTTTATTATAGGACATAATAGGCTTAGGAAACTAGGATTAGCTCTCACTCTATCGGGTCTCGGTCGATAGAAAGACTTTGAAAATAATAATACTTAGGTGACATACAGACGACTTGGGGCGCGTAGTGTACAATAAATTGCTTTACACCTCGCAAGTAATATTAATTGTGTCCTTTCTTGCAACAAAGATTTGTAATCAAATTAGAAACAATGTATACCGCATTAGATATTCAAGTATTTTCTACAGAATTTTGGATAACGATACATATGTCTTAGATCTGATATTAAAACGTTTTAAACAGGTAAATGTTCAAAGCATAAGCCGAACTACAATACCTTAATTTATTATTAAAACGGAATATACTACAGTTATGTGATAAAGTAAAATAAAAATCACAAAAATACTTTTCGCACCGATTTTTGTAGAAATATTTGCACTACACTTACACTACAAGTACTGTTAGCAAAGTGAATCATGTGGTCAGAAGGTGTGTTTTGTTGCAGCTGATGAAGCGGCTGCGCCAGGTGGTTGGCCAGCGGCTGTTCGAGGCCATCATGAAGGCCACCTTCTACGGACAGTTCGTCGCCGGTGAGGACCAGAACAAGATCCGACCCACCATTGAGAGGTAACGCCTTCACTAACCTTGTGTAGTGCAAGATAAAAGTTTCCAAAGTAATACTTGCAGCTCTAACTATTTTACTTCTTACTATTACGAAAGTTTGGATGGATGTTTGTTAGAAGTTATCTCCAGAAGGACTCAATGAATCACTATGAAATTTGGCACGGATGTAGAATATAGTGTAGAATAACACAAAACAAATTATTTAAATTATACATGTATAATAGTTATTTAGTAATAGCCACAATTTGATATTATTATGATTAATTTAGATATCAAATTGTGGCTATTACTAAATAAATGTGCTTATTTCAAGGCAAGTTAACTCGAAATACGACCTAGCCTTTTATAGACGACCTAGTCAAACAGGTTACACAGATCTGACTCACTACTTATCTGAACATCAATTCAAATATAAACGAAAATGGTATCAATTTATAAAAGAAACAACTCATTATATAAATAATGTAGCACCTGACACATTGGAATAATATTTGCGACGCGATGTTTTGCCAAACGGCACAAAACTTTCCATATAGTAAAAAATTCCAAATGTAATTTTGGGACAAAACGGTGAAGCTACGCTCGGAACCGACTCAAGGACGCCCTCGCTTCTGTTTGACTCTCGTCACAACTTTTTATTATTGCGAACTAATTATACAAAACTATTTAGTATTTACTATTTACTACATATTATGTATTTTGTTTTACTATCTGTCATGCGCTTAAAATGATGGATGTCGTCCACTAATTGTTTTACGTTATTCATATCTCAATTTGCGAAATAAGTCAGTATTCTATTTAATTCATTTGTTTATATCTACATTTTTATAATTGTTTAAAGGCGCTTCGCTTTGATTGGCAAAAGAATTTGTTATACGCGTATATTGACCAACACTATTTTTTTTTAATTAAAGTTTTTTTTTATAAATCCTACGTTATAATTTTGTGCGGTCATATGCGACATGCTATGAAATTGTAACACATTTATCCACTTTATTAGCCAATAGTTTGTTTGTGTTGCAGGCTGCGCTCGTTCGGAGTGAAGTCCATCTTGGATTACTCCGTGGAGGAGGACTTGTCGCAGGAGGAGGCGGAGAAGAGAGAAGTCAGGTGAGCTTACAAACACAGGCGCAAGACACAACTATAAATAGAGAAATCTGTGCAATAATTTCGCAATTTAACACAACTGTCGTCAAGGGATGTGCCTCTCGGGAGAATAGGCATGGGTTGCCAGTATTATGTGCCAAGCATTGGTTGCCATGGTGATGTAATTGTCTATGGTCTACACGTGCTCTCGCGCACTCATAAAAGTCTACAATATCCAAAACAATGGAGACAAATGATTTGGCGTAAGAAGCGGATGTTACTTATTGTTTTTCATATAACTCTGTTAATATGACCTTCACGGCTCTCATTACCTAAAGTATTATAGATTTAAGGTGTGATCGTGTATAATTAATTTTCTCGGCTTGTGTTTCCGTGCGACGACAATTTTAAGTTCATTTTTTTATCTATGCCAGTGTCCTTGAACCTGTGTTATGTTACGAGACATGTTTCCTCATAATTATATTATAACAAAGTATTGTCGTATTAAACAAGATATACAATAATTGATATTTTCATGGGAAACTCAACAATCACGTTTGCATAATATAAATATATTGTGATTGCTGTGACGGAACTAAATGCTTCTTTAGGAGCTATGTTAACTTTGTTAACTGCTTTACAATATGACAAAATCCAACTATTTATCTTAAAAATTCAAAGAAAACGGTTACATTAATTAGCCGCGCTATCGAATGCCTTCTATTGTTTTTGCGAGACGAGTCAGAGTGAAACAGACTGCGTTGGTTCTGCAAGTGTGAATGAGACGGACTGCAGTGCTGGTTCGAGGGCAATTTTCTCATGATTGTGTCGTTAGAGAGGACACAACAATGTTAGTGACTGTACATTGTGCTTCATTATGACTCGTGTAGGATTAGCATCGTACTCGTCTTGTCCCGAACATTGGACCTTCATTACGCAAATTACGGCTTAAAATCATTACAAAAATACTGACACTACTAAATACAATAATTACGGCGTTGTAACGAAATCTTTAAGTTACAAAATGGTTCTATATGTTACCATTATTTTTGTATTTTACTCGACAATTGTAATATTGTTTGTCACCAACCGACAATGCTATTCAACGAGGTCATATCATTATGTCGGTCTTTTTCTTGTAAAACACCTCATCAAAACTTAAATTTATTTGTTTCTTCATTTGTAGCAATTTAACAAAATTTATAGTCACACTACAGATGTTTATGTTGCTCTTCATATAATGTCAATATCAGCTATTGTTTTCATTATTTTATGTTAAAAATATAAGTACAATTGTATAAAGACAATGAGGCAGACGCGAGCGGCGCGGTGCGGCGCGGTGTCGTACGTAAATATGTGTTCAGATGAAAAGCTACAGAATTCTTTGCGTCATCTTGTTTTATCATTGAGATAACTTAACTGTAACGTAAATATATTATAATGAAAGGTTTTATTGGCGTTTTACAAGTGTTAAAGAGACAGGAAAATAGAAAGCATGATACAAAAGAGGAAGTAAACACAATAGCGATATACTTTTTCAATATACAATAGTCAATTTTGAATGATTGTGTCGTATATTTCCTTTCCCAAATTACACAACGTAGGTTGGCATCAAATCTTTTCTGTACTACAAATTTCACTTATAATATAAAATTCATTATTAATTTTCTTAAATTTCAACTTTCCACTGAAAGCTAAACGGAAATATTTTGCAGTACTTCATTAACTTGGCTGATGGCAAAGCGGCAACTCGCTCTGCTCTCAAAACATAAAGACTTCGAAAAAAAGAAAGCCTCTTTTGCAGCTCCATATTTCCTGCTTCTGAGAAAAAGCTTGCTTTTTATAAAATTATGCGGTTTTCATATTCAGGTCGCATTTATTAAATGAATAAAGCGCTGCTTGAAGCCTCATTCCTTTCTACATTTTAAAGATAAATTCTTGAAAGCCTATAAGTTTTAAGCCTTATACTATTTCTTTTCCACATTAATATTAGTTAAAAAGTTTACTGGATTAGAGCAAAATTTAATTTTTTGACCGTTAAAATATACGAAACGGCTTCGACAGTGTCCATAGACGCAATGGACTTGGATCGATACTTTAATCTATATGCAACTTTATTGTAGAGCATTAAGATTTATATTGTGTTGTGCCGGTGCGTAAAGCAATCGATAGTTTCGGGTGATATATGACAGTAGTGAGGTGACGTCACGCGCGCAGTGTCGACGCGCACAATTTAATTTGCCGCCGCAAGCCGCGGCCACCATGTAATTGATTGTCCGCCGCACGACGCACGACACACACACAAGACGCGACCTCACCTGACATCACTGGCTGCTGCAGATGTCACTCAAATTTAATATTATAATAATATCATCAACAATACGAACATTCAAGTAGTTACTCATCAAGCTTGAAAGCAATTAACACAACATAACCGATGTACTTTAAAATAAAGATTCATATTGGCTTCTGAAAAATATCTGATATCCCACCTTGTTGTACCAAAAACAAACTAGCTTTTTTTCCTCGAATCAAACTAGTAGATTATTAATTTTTACAAACATTTCGATGGTACATTTTTTTTGCTAACAATAGAAACTTGAAGCAAATGTTAAAACATTAATTTCAAATTTTGACCTAAATAATAAATCAGTGTTTGTAGGTGAGTGTAAGCTTGCCAATGTATCTATTTTACATTAGAAAGCGACATCTGGCATTTTGCCTAATATTATTTGTCAGTTTTTTTCCTCCATCAGCTCAGCACACATAGTAGTAGAGACAGCTTGCTCTATTGTGGAGACGGTGGTAATACGTGGTAAAATGATTGCTCGTGCAGTTTGTAGGTGACCGTGTTAGCGGATCTATTTTTTGTGCAGCACTCGCTAAGTTTGTTCGAGTTGTTAGATTTACGATACTAGGTCAAATCTAAAAGTCATATCACATATAAAAACTTTGTAATGTTTTTTATTAACCCACGAATATATTTACTTAAATAGATGTTTGCATATCGTAATCCTTCTTTCATTATTCTATTAATATAAATATAATGATGCAAAAAAACCGCAACTGTTAAATAAGTTTCGAAGCATCAGTCCACAACTCATATCACAATTAACTCCTAATTATTAATCGGAATTCAATTTACAATGTACATTGTTTTGTCTTGTATGTTCTAAGTATCAAATCTTTGAGATATCGCCGGTCACGTGTTCTAAACGGCTGCTTCTAATCCTACTAATAATATTAAATGCGAATGTTTGGATGTTTGTTAGAAGGTATCACCAGAACGGTTGCATGAATTTCGCTGAAATTTGTCATACACGTAGAATATAGCCTGGAGAAACACGTAGGCTACTAATAATTTTTAATTGTGCGCGCATGGAGTCGCGGGCGACAGCTAGTAAATTATAGATATTATATATGTACAATAGGCTTACATTGTATTTTAATAGTGAGGTGTCTGTGTTGTTGCAAGACATTATTTTATTAAACATTCAACATCAATGTTTTAATACAAACTTGAGCTGGACGTGCTGATGTATGTAGCGCACACATACACACAGACACACACACACACTCCCATATATATAACAATGACAGAAGTAAAATTGTAAGCTGAACCTAAAATAATGTGTAGTACAACTATATGTTTTATTAGAGATTTTCCTTTAGTATAAAATGTGTTGTTTACGATCACAAGCGTGTGTCGGAACGCGGTTGTTTGTTGCAATGTTTGCACAGATTTGGTGATAACGCTACCTTGACTAATTTACATAGAACCATCGTAGATTTGCTAAAGTAGAATTTAGGTTAGCTGATGAACTCCTCGAATTACCATAGTATTATGAAAAATAGCGTTTATTTCCGAGCATGTACGGAAATATGACAAAATAATCTTAATCGAGACCGCAATTTATTGGTGTTCCAAAATGAAGTTATTTTTAGCAACTCATTATGAAGGTAGCTCAGCGATTCTGCAAAAGTATAATGAATAATAAGAAGCTATAAAGACACGCAGTAATTTCACAGTTGTTTATAATCTGGTAGTAATATTATTTCTGTTCTTTCTACAAATCTAATTAACTAAACGGGCTAATCGTTTTTAGTCAACTGCTAACAATAATACTTAAATAAGTTAAATAAAAAAGGTATTTTATAAATAACTTGAGACAGATTGATACAGTTAAACCACTATTTATTAGAATTGACTGGATTATATTGAAAAGTCTCTGATGACGTAAAACGTATCATTTGCAGCGCGTCGATCTCGGCGTGCGGCGACGCGGCGGAGGAGGGTCAGCTGCGGCAGTACCACGTGGAGCAGCGCTTCGCCGACCGCCGCTACAAGGTCACCAGCGCGCGCACCTACTTCTACCTCAACGAGGCCTCCTGCGAGAAGAACATGGAGCACTTCTTGCGCAGCATCGAAGCCGTCGCCGGTACGCACAGCACCAACACAACTGTCACACTGTCTCGGTCTCACATAACTTTTGATTTATATTGAATGTTCCAGGTATCACCAAGAGCACGGGTCTGATGGCCATCAAACTCACCGCTTTAGGAAGGCCCCAGTTACTTGTAAGTAATAACATCGATCTCAACATCTGACGTGCTTATACGTTTACGTAGTATTGTTCCTTGCCGCCCAACATCAACAACAACAATCCTCCTGACATTAAGCATTCTTTGGTGCATTCCAGCTCCAGCTGTCAGAGGTGATAATGCGCGCGCGCAACTACATGCAGCAGATCGCGGGCGGTACCGGCAACGTCCTCACGCATCACAAAACCATCGAGGACTTCCAGCGGTACTTCGGTGACCACGGCAACAAGCCCGAGGTGCAGGAGTTCATGCGCAAGATCACCTCGGACAAGGAGGGGTAACCGCTGCACACATTTCTTTATTCCTCCACTTTATAATCAAGCTCACGTCTTCTAGAACTATTTAATGGCTTAGTTTGGCAGTACTCTGCGATGATCTTTTCCTTATTTATTTGCACAATTGTAAACTATCGACGTAAGAAAATCGATTGCGAGGGATTCTGTATAGTGCCACGACCTCACAGAGTTGTGGTATCCTGACGATTGAGAAGCCCAGACCCCACTTCCGCCTCTCTGTATAGTCCCCCAAAGATGAATCGCTGTGACACAGCGGTCAGTGTCGCCATTAGTATGAGTACGAGCAGCAGCTGAGGTGTTGTGGTGGTGTTTCAGCGTGCTGCACATATTCCCGTGGGACCGGTCAGTGGCGGCGACTTGTAGATTCGTAAGGGTTGTCTCGTAACGTCGCTAACTACCCCCTACCTCCTCCCCCTCACTCCCAATGCAAACTTGCGAAGGAACTCCGAGTGCGACTCGAAACTTGGCATCGGAATTTCTACGTACCCTCGCATCTAAGTGATTGTCGAATGTGAATTGGCTTGAAAAAAAAAAAGAATGAGAAATGTTTGTTTCGCTGTGCCGCTAGAGCTGAATCTTAAGTCTGTATGTGCTAGACAGTGACGTAACACATTGTAGTAGCTTGGCTTGTCGCGCACATGTCACCCCAGTGTGCTCTGCGCTGTACTGCGCCCTACTTCGCCCAACTGCGCCGTACTGCGCCCTACTGCGCCGTACTGCGCCCAACTGCGCCCAACTGCGCCCTACTGCGCCGGCCTAACAACGCTACATTCCCCTGGGTCTCGCGCCGGCAACTGACTATCCGTAGCGGAAGATGGCTGCTATAATCTAATAGATAACGGTCAATAGCTCGAAAAATTGTACCCAAATATAACAAGTTGATGCCAAATAAATATTGAGCACATGATAATAACCGTGAGGAACAATGCTACACATAAAATCCCCATGTAGTAATTGCCAAATTTTGTTATCCTAAACATCCGAAAATAAAAATCGATCACAACGAGATTAGGTGAATATATGTTAATGGGTTTATTGACCCAGTATAGTAACAATGCGGTCGCGCACGTTGCAGCATCGTGCATCTGTTCCCGTGGTCCAACATCCTGGACAAGGACATGAACCTGTCGGACTCGTTCCGAGTGCCCGACCCTAAGACCGGCCAGATGCGGCGCCTCATCTCCCAGATCTCGCCCAAGGAGGAGGAGATGTTCCGCAACATGCTGCGCCGCCTCAACCACATCATCACGCTGGCCAAGGACGCCGACGTGCGCGTCATGGTCGACGCCGAGCAGACCTACTTCCAGCCCGCCATCTCCCGCATCTGCCTCGAGATGATGAGGAGATACAACAAGGTGACGCTCTCACGCTTACCCCGATCTCCTCCTCTTCTTCCTCCTCCTCCTCCTCCTCCACATTACTGATTGCGCTCGCGTGTGCTGCAGGACAAGTTCGTGGTGTTCAACACGTACCAGACGTACCTGCGCAGCACCTACCAGGAGATCCTGACCGACCTGGAGCAGGCGCAGCGGCAGAACTTCTACTGGGGCGCCAAACTCGTGCGCGGCGCATACCTCGAGCAGGTACCTCGCCCCTCTCTGCGGCGTGTCACTCCCGCCCTTTCCGCCTAGCTGATGTGGTCTCTGCAACTCATTACTTCACGTATGTACAGGAGCGTGCGCGTGCGGCCGCCATGGGCTACGAGGACCCCACCTGCGAGAGCGTGGCCGCCACCACCGCCTCCTTCCACCGCTGCCTCGCAGAGATCCTGGGCCGCGTGCAGGTGAGTGCGCAGGCGGCGCGGGGCGCACCACACGGTGCCACCTGATGCTGCCCCGAGCTAACGCGTGTCGTGTGCGTGTCGTGTGCGCAGGCGCAGGGCAAGGAGCCGCGGCTGGGCATCATGGTGGCCTCGCACAACGAGGACACGGTGCGCTACGCCATCCAGCTGATGAAGGAGCGCGGCATCGGGCCCGGGGACAAGGTCGTCTGCTTCGGCCAGCTGCTCGGCATGTGCGACCACATCACCTTCCCGCTGGGTGAGTGTTGCGCGGTGGCGTGCTGGTGGCGTGCCGGTGGGGCCGCAGGTGGCACCGAGGACAGGCATGTAACGAGGTGGTTGTGTTGGGTCGGTCTGCAGGTCAGGCGGGCTACTCGGCATACAAGTACGTGCCGTACGGTCCGGTGGAGGAGGTGCTGCCCTACCTGTCGCGGCGCGCCAACGAGAACCGCGGCTTCCTCGCCAAGATCAAGAAGGAGAAGGGGCTGCTGCTGAAGGAGATCGGGCGCCGGCTGTTCAGCGGCCAGCTGTTCTACAAGCCGGAGGGTCGCTACACGCCGGTGTAAGGCGGGGGAGCGGCGGCGCACTCGCATCATGTCCGCCATCTTGTGATACTTTCAGCGGGAAACTAAACTTAATTAGGAACGTAATCCGCTTGTAGTTTGCCGGCAGTGAGTTTCCCCGCGGCCCAAAGTGTCCCGGAAACTGAAACCGATAGGAATTTACAAGGAGCTAGTCTTTATTTTGATTAATTAATTTCAAACGTATAGAAATATTTGTGATCTAATGACGGTTTGTGATTTAAACCGTTTTTTAACATTGTGACAAAATATAAAGTTAATAAATAGGCGATATAGTAAAAGTGCATCGGTTTGATTGTAAACATGATACAACTCCGCGCTTTATTACTTAATGGACATGTTTGAAGTGAACATTTGGTTTTCTTTTATGATTTACACACACGTACAAGTGTCGCTGTCTCTATTCAGTATTACAATTTACGCAGACTATTCTATTCTATATAATTACGTATGAAACGATCTTTGAGTATTCAAAATTCTCAAAAAACTTCTACAAGTACAGTTTCTTACAAAAGTTGTTTATTTTATTATATAAAAATGAAAACCATTTGAATTATTTATTTTAGAAATTAATTTAGATATATTATTGTTGGTATTACATATTTATTAAATTGAAGCGGGAATTTCATGAGAATTAAATGATACAATGAAGCAATAAAAATGTTCGTATGACATGTTCGTATTAAAATGCATTATTTATTTAGAATTTGGTGTAACATTTGTGAAGGCGACAGTACGCACGGCCACCATTCATAACCATTGACTCTTGGACTAGGAATTTAAACACATCTGAGAAAAGGAAGGAGAAAACAGATTGTAATAGAGAGAGAGAGAGAGAGAGAGAGAGAAAGAGTTAAGTAAGATGACAGTCAATGTTTGATTGTGTGAGGTGTGCGTGTGTGTGTGTGTGTGTCGCAGAGTGAAGCTGTGTGCTCAGTGTTCACCAAACAATGTACTCTGCATTGCATTTCTCTGTTCCAGATCTTAATGTTAAATCTCGTTAAGTTATGTGTTTATTTATTGTGCGTTACGTCCCATTGCTGCGCAGGTACAGAGCAGCCTTATTCTTTATGTATTTGGGAATCCTGTTTATCTGCATATACAAAGTGAGGAGGTATAAAGTGCGGTAGTCGCGGGGTGACGATGTACCTTAATAACGAAAAAGGAATGATAACCCAGGATAAATTTGTAGGAACTACTAGCCGGGTGTTCACTCAGTATTATGAAAACTTTGTAAGGTGGAATCTCAGTAACTCCATCCTTATTAAGTAAAAATCCTGAGTAAGTCGAAAAAACAAAAGCACCGTATCTCGGATTATTTAAATTGTAACTTAAACAAAATGTTATTTCCACGCGTTGTAATTTAACACTTGATAACTCTCATTCCCCGTCAACTGATTGACTGGAAACTCTTGTTAAGTAAACACACAATAAGTCGAAGTTTTTTGCATTTACCTTGACATTTGAGATTGTACTGTAATATTTTTTCTTTTTGTTCTCATTTTCAACTTTATAATTATAGAGATATTTAATATGATGATTTTTATTGCAGTGTCTGTTTTATAATCACGTTTAATCGATCTGCAGAATGAAGTTTGCACTCGACGATATTTTATATAATTGTTTTATGTTCCTAAAAATATAATTAACTAAATAAGATAGGTCATAACGAAGTGAAGACACACACTGCCCCCCTCGCCCCACCCCGCCCCGCACCTCTCCGCGCTGGTACTACGTAGACGTCCTAATTTGTTCAAATCGTGTTTTTAGGTTGTTTTATATTGTTTTTAATTTATTTTTAAGTGTATGATTTATTTGATTATCTTCGCTAATTATTGTGATGTTAATTATAGATTACGATTAGACATGAAATAAAGACAACATTGTTTTGATTTTTTTTCTTTTATTTTCCTTTTTTTTAAACAAGCACACACATTTCATATGAGCAATACAACATGAACTATACATTGAAATTGTAATCCTTATTGCTGCTGTATGCCGATATAAAACCATATCACAAAAATTAAAACCTAAGCTGTTAGAAACAAAAACAGCAAAATAAATCACTTACATATTTCAGTTGAGTTCGTAAACGCAAAAAAATACACATCTATCTTTTTTTAATCTGGGAGGGAAAGTGATTAAAAAAAAGCCCTGTATTTTGAGGGAAGTAAAGGACAATACCACCTACACAATTAACACGGGAGCTCGCCATGTTGCCGTCTCTCCAATAACACGTTTACTTATGTCTGATTGCTTGATCATTAGCTGACAAGGCACGTAAATTTATTTATTGAAGTTCTTTTTACGTGCGGTGCGGAGTAAACAAACGCCTTCGAACTTAGTTGAACCTTCAATTTATTTGTAAAGTAATGTGGTATCCTGTTCACAATCTTTCCCAAGCAATGATGACTCGTTTTAAACAAGTTGAGACAGTGATGACAAGATGGCCGCCAGTTGTTAGCTGCCTGCAAGCAGCCGCCACTTAAATTACAATTAGGGGTAGATTATTGCAACAACTTGATGTTTAAAAAATAAATGTTATCACGTGTTTACAAAATTCTTTATTTAATTTACTTTGAAATCGATTATATTCATCAATTTGTGTAGTTATTTTTTTAAATAATACTAAACATTTGTTTTTCTTTTGTTTTTTGTAACTTGCTTTGTTTTAATCCGATGGCTGTAAGCTGTCCCTTGTTTTTTATTTAAAAGTATTTTCTACATAATATAATGTTTAACATAAGCTAATGTAGGCAGACAATAATGTTTGTAGTGAAGTTCGTATGTTACTGTCCATAGATATATATATAACACGACATATTGTTCAGGCGAGACATTACATTTATAAATATATTATTACTTATATTTCCTTGTTTAATTATAATAAAATATATAGTGACCCATCTCCACAAGGTGTTTTGAGACTACAATTTACACGACAGATAATAACATTTTGTAGGTTTTATATAGCGATAATTTTTAAAAAATTTCATATGTCTGTACTGAAACCTCGAACTTATATAATTTTTAAATTATTTGGTTAATAGTTTTTATTAATTTGTTAGGATTTAACTTATGTACATTGAGCGCTTAATAAATTGATAATAAATAAAGGAAATTGATGAAACCTATAGATTGAATTTGAAACAATAATTTTACATAATCAATGTTCTGAAAGTTTTACAATTGTATGTTATATACCATAAACTATTTTACGTAGAGCGAATAAACTAATTTAATAATACATATGTAGTAATACGTTTATACAGCACGCCACTCACTTATTTTGAGCTTTTGTGATATATATATATATTTGTAGTAAAAAGTATTGTGTCGATCGGAAATTACTTGATAATATTAATATTTTTACGTTATAATGATACAAATCTGTGAAGACTGCAATACATTTGTTATTCATTATTATAAACTCGCCTGCACAATTTGTTACAATTTACAGTGTTTTATGTCATATAGGTTAGTTAGTTCTTTACAGTAAATGCTTAACCTTCTAATAATTTGTACTAATTTATAACTATTGTTAAAATTGTTTGCGATTGCATTGTTGTATTGAAGTGTATGAGAATCAATTATATTGTGTTAAAAGTTGTGTGTCTATTAGTAGAGTTTGTTTACTTACTTTGTCAGGAGCTTATATCATTTTTATATTTTTCCAGTTGCAATCCAGCGTTAGATTCTATAGCTGGATTGGAATAATGTAAACTGGGCATAAAAAAGACATCGTAGGATTGTTTTATATTTATTTATTTTTCAATTTCCTATTTTTTATGGATGGTGATTGTCCCAACAATTCACAGTTACATATATATTGTGCAATTAACCTTGATAACTGTTCAATGATTCAATGTATTTATGTGGAACTTCATTTATCATAAAATAAATAAAGTAACTGTTAATGTTGCATAATGTATTTTATTTTGTGACTATCTATTCAAACTCTGTGACATTATCTGCTACATTTGTACAGTTTGAAAATGAATTATGAGCTGCAACAAAGTACGTGTGAATGCTTACATGCATGAATGTGGCAGAAGCGAGAGAAGTGTACCAGGACCGAAACAAATACAAATCTTTAGTTACCAGAAGTTATCCTGTCGGTCGGCGTGGTTTAAAAATGAACCATGTTGAAAACTTATTGTATATTTGTCGAATTTAACGACTAGTATTCGCCCGCGACTTCGTCAGCGTAAAATTAAAAAAAAAGAAAAAAGTAGCCTATAATGTATTCGCGTACATTATTTCCTTCAAAGTCGCAGCACTGCGGACAGACAACAATTTAAAAAAATTACAGAGGTCCTTTTGGTGTTTATAAGGTTTTTTTTTAAATTAAAAACAACCGAATGAACAGTCAAATAATTTTATTTCGTGTATAATAAAATGTTATGTTACAAACTTGTAGGTAGGTAGGTTTGTTGGCACACGATCACTTATTTCATTTATATTATAAAATTAAATACAATGACGGGAATATATAAAAATAACACGAATCTTCTTGTGTTTTTATGTTTCTAATGAAATTGCTGATTACATTTTTTACAGTGCAGAGTTAATAAGAGGCTTGAAATAATATTATAGTAATTGACACAAGTCAGTGCAATGACTCAGTATAGACAACATCATACAACTAAGTAAACATTTGTTATCTTGATATATTTTCAATAAACTTTACTTCTTTGTTTACTTAAAACTTTATCAATCTAAATAATACCTTAGTTAATGTCGTCTCCCTCATTTCTGGTAAACAAAATGCTTGGGTTTGGTTGCAGAATAATCAATGGATACGGTTGTTCTATTGACTTTGTATATATAAACAGATGTTGGAATGGATGTCATACACTTGCATTCCTGACTATTACAGTGACCATACCTCTCTTGCGTTATTGTTATAACTGTACTACACTACAGTATAGTTTAAAGTCAAAGTATTGCACTTGTATCAGCGGTAAATTATATTACTTATAATAAATTTATTATAATTAAGTGTATATTTTTCATTGATTAATATTAAAAAAAAACAGTTTGTAATTAAAACACATTTCTTGATGGTTTTATATTCTTTTATTAATTATTTTAACCCTGATAATGAAGTTCAAAAAAATACAACAAAAATAATATATTTTCACACGCTTACGAATTACGGGAAAAATTAAACATTTTTATAAAAGATGATACAAAAAAGTATTATTATAAATGCAACTCTAGTTACCAAATGCTTTGACAAAATGTTTACTTCCTACAAAAACCTTTAAAATACGTAAAATTGATTGCAAAATATTGTATATCTACATGCTGCAACTAATTTAATGTGAAACGTATTTAGTATGATCGTGTGCGCTGACAACAGAACAGATCTTCAGAAACTGTTAAACTCCCCAAGATAAAAGGGTAATGTTCGTGTACTTCCATTGATCCTTGTACTAGTTTGACTTGTGAAAGTGGGATAGATTTGACAACTTCATAAAAGGTTTGTCTATATTTTTGATAATAAAACATTGTTTTATTATTTAAATGTATGTCTGTAGAAGTGGTATGTCAGGATTTATAACTTACGAGTACATTACAATATACAATTATTAATAGAAATGTTTTCAGTGCTAGTTTCAGCCGGTGGAAAAATAGTGTTGGATTCTACATACATACATACATACATACATACATACAACCTTAAATATACATATAAGTTATTCATTTTATAACAGACCATCTAACACGTCGCCTACTGAACCCGCGTAAGTTATTTTTATCAAACTACTTGGTTAGTAGGTACAAGTAAATTATTGTTACAGTCAAATACCTAAATAAGTTCGCGGACTCAGTAAATGACGAATTAAATGTACAATAATTTACTCAGATATACGTGTCTAGTCTTCGGTAAACAACAATTTTCTTATTTTAGTGCCAAATATAAAACGTATTTCTTATTTGTACACATTTATATAACACACAGTTTAAAAAACATTGACACAGAGAGGAACTGCCGACTGCGCGCGCGGCTGCCATGGGAGTTATACGAATATTATACATACATAATTGTTTTATATTTGATTCAGTTGAAATTTGAGTTAAGCTCGAATATGACTACAAATCATGTTGTGTCGTGTCGTGTGTACAAACGTGACCGTAAAAAACATTAAGATTACTTGTTTATACGCTACGAATGGGAGTCTGCATACGGCCCGGAGCGCGCTCGACACGCGGCCGACACCGCACCGCGACGCACTTCACACAACTAACAAACCTCACTTGTCAACAAAACATCACCCACGCTAGCACCGACACACTCTACACTTGCATCCCCCACGTCCAACGAGGAAGACGGTAACTCCTCTCCACCACATTTAGGTATGTCGTGACGATCTTGCTGCAATACTTTGTTTGGATGTTCATTTACAACTACTGCTCCGGCAGTTACCCCGACCACGTGAGCCATAGACACCCTGCCAGAGCTCACATTGAGCACTTTGGGACTGACTTCCCTCACCTCGCCGTCAACGGCGTCGACAACGTCCGTCAATTCAGAGAAGGCATTGCCTTGTAATACAAAAACATTTGCGGGTGCGTCCGGGGAGCGGGAGCGGGAGCGAGGGCGGCGCTAGGTGCGGCGCGCGTCGGCGCGGCGCTGGCGCAGGTCGAGCGCGGCGTGCGAGGCGAGCGCGGCGATTAACGTTAGCGCCAGGCCCGCCAGCTGAGTGCGCACGCACAGCACGCGTCGCGCACCGCACGCCAGCGCCAGCCCCGCGTGCCGAGCCGCCAACGTGAGCGCCCATGGCCCTCGCCAGCCGCTGCCGCCCACGCACAGCCCGCACTACAATATACACACACACATGGTAAAATCTTATTGTCGTTTTGATTTCATGCTGACATCTGCCGGATCCTCAGAGGGCGGCGAGGACTCGTCTAAACTGACGAACAAAAATAGTGTAACTACTAGATATGATGGCTGATTGAATACACTGAAAAATGTGGGTACCTGCAGGACATCCCAGAGCGCCCCGCACGCGCCCCAAGCGGCGGCGGCCACCGCGGGCAGTGCCAGGTCTGAGCGCGCGGCACGCCAGCGCAGCAGGGCCAACAGCAACGAGCCGTGCGCCGCGCCGCCCCCCGCCGCCAGGGCGCGCCCCGCGCTCCCCGCGCGCGCCGCCGCCATGCTAAGCGTGGCCGCCGCCAACGCTTGCAGTGCGCCCGCACCGCCCAGCGCACGCCACGCGCCTCCCCACCCGCCCACGCACACGCCGTACCACTGCACGCCACAAAAGCTCACGTTATACTCCTCTAAGTTTTTACTGTAAAGAATAATTTGTATGTTTAAGTGGTGTTCAATAAAGTATATAAATAATAGTCCGTACCCTCATATATGATGTATAAATGAAACCCTGTTGAAGTCCTATAAACAATCCCATCGGCGCGGCGAGGATTGCACGAGGATCAGCGATGGCGGCGCGAGCATCGGGCGGGGCGGCGCTAGTGCTGGCCCCCACCGCCGCCAGCACCGCACCCGCTAGCGCAATCGCAGCCCAGCACGCGGCTAGCGCCCGTCGCCCTGCACCGCTTAGACCCGCGCCGCCCAAAATCATGCGCACCTGCGGGCAGCCCGCCGCACCGCACGTGCGCTCCTGCAAATAAACAAGTAAGTTTTATATGCATTTTTAAAGACAAAGAAGGCTTCCATCGTCTCAAAATAATGCAGCCTAAGAACCTCGTAGTCGTCTTCGATGTAATAATCCTCCGGCGAGGGCCAGCGTGTCGCCGTGATATTGTCGCCGAACGCGACCGTAGTCGGCTCCTCCGGCCACAAGGCAAGGGCGCCGCCCAAAAGCAGCGCACCCACCACCAGGCCCAGGTCTTGTGCCGCACGCAGCCCGCGCAACGCCCGCCGCAGCACGACTCGGCGCCGGCTCTCGTCGCCCGCCGCCTGCGACAGCGCGGCTGCCGACACGCTCAACGCAAGAGACGACGGCGACAGCGCGGCGCCGCACAACGCATACAGCGAGAGCAGTGCCCACAGCGGCAGCGCCAGCGCATGCGCGCCTACCAGCGCCGCGACCAGCGCGTGCGCCGCTGTTACTACAAGACGCGGTCCCGCGCGTTGCACTAGAGAGGGCGCAAGGGGCGCCGCGACCGCCGCCACCGCGTGCATCACGGCCAGCGGTGCCGCACCCGCTTCCGCGCCCGCGAACGCCGTGAAGGGGAGCAGCGCGGCGGCGCATAGCCCGCTCGCCACACACAGCAGCGTGAAGCGTACCACGGCGGAGCGCGGCACGGGGGCCGGCGGACGCGCTATTAGCCTCCGCACCGACGCCGCGCCCACCGATGATGCCGCGGAGTCGCGCCGCCGCCCTCCACCTCCCGGGGCCAAGCCCCGGATGGGCGCCTTCGCCCTCCGCCACGGCCACTCTTTTTTATATATAGTGTGCACGGGGAGCTTAAAAATTACAAAAAAAAAATGTTAAAGAGCCAACAATATATTTTATGTGTATTCCACGCATTATTATGTTTATATTGGTCGGGAGGTAGGAATGTACCTGTGGGGCGCCGGCGCCGGCGAGGGTGCGGTGCCGGTGGGGATCTGAGGTGGTGCGCGCGGCGGGGCGCAGGGTCGCCGGCCGCGCTCGCTCCGCCAGCTCCGGCAGGCTGCCCATATCCGCAGCCCGCTCGCACCCGCTCGTCCCGCTCGCCCCGCACGCCCCGCTCTGCTATACTATCATTCCTGGAAACCGGCCACATACCCTTCTTATTATTATAAACTGATCCCCGCTCCACTCACTACATACACAATTCATCCCTTCAGACATTAGATCGTACAATAACGGAACCGCTCACCTCCACCACTAACTGACAGAGTTCTGCTGTCGTCGTCGTCATCCTGTCTAATTTCATACGATGGGGTTATCACAGTATGTTCACCATACTTGCTCTCCATATCCATACCATACTAACCTCTGATGACATTTCAGATCTGCTATTTAATATTCTATCTATCTGCTATTTAATACTTAATATTTTAAAGTATAGTTTTCATAGAAAACTTTAAGTTTAAAATAGAATACGAGTATTATTATCAAAGTTTATGATAATAATTTAACAAATGCCAGGTAAAACAACAATTTATATGATTAGAAAACTTTTTGCACAAATATATCTCGATTTGATTACAATTTGTAACACCAAGGGTGCTCCTAATTTCATAAGTTATGGAAACCAGGAAAGTATTTCGAGGATAACCCTTATCGATGGACTGCGACGACCTTCGTGGTCTCCCTCCCCTCCCTCCCCTCCCTCCCCACCTCAGCCTCCTTCAGCGACATTCTGCGAGCTGCGGGAGGGGGGCGGGGGGCGGGGGGGTATACCTGATTGAGATAATTGCGATATAGAGATGCAGCACCACAATATTTACCAATTTACCATCTTTTCCAATGTCTTGAAACATTTCGAAATTAGTTGTCACCAAATTAATTATAATAACGGGAGAGGTGGAATGTGGCTGTTCTTTTTTATTTATAATAATTGCTTACAAAGTTTAATTAATTTAAGGTAAGCATTAAATTTTTAGCTTAAGTTCCTTTTTGTCTTATTTTCCTCACCTAGCACGAGGACTCGTGCTCTCGTGTTTGTGTGTTTGTGAGCACGTTTTCATCATATGAGTACATTTTTTGAATAACATATTCTTTGTTTTTCTAAAATTCATAAAAAAATGTGTACAGCCCCTCCCCCATTTACAGGCATATAATTTTTTTAAATAATGGTTGCTATCGCAATTAAAAATATATCACTATGACAGATTAATTATTTTAAGACAACCAGCTATCGATGCAGTGAATGAAACAATTATATGTTCTCAAATACAAATCAGTTTACAGACTTCACTTCTATCTAAATTGTGACTCACCTACACACCAGCCCCACACATCTTAGTTTGCTTTCGTCTTTGACTTTGCAATATCCACACACACCTTTCTACACTTGCACTTTAATCAAACAATAATTTACGCGAAATGTACGTGAAACAGATATATTGTGTGCTGTGCACTATGCAATTGATTTTAAACAGATTTTGTCAGATATTGAGATGATAAGTCCGTATTCTGGAAGTAGCGCGCGTCATGTGCTCTCCGCCGTCGCGCGCCGCGCGGGTCGAGGGCGCGGGCCTCGCTAGCGGCAGAGGGATGCGCCGCGCCGGGACGTTGGGTGACACTCATTTAGGTCCAATCGGAGACTAGATCAAAATTGTATTATTATGTTACGATTTACTTAGTAATAAACTCGAAGAAAAGTATGTTTGATATCTAATATTATTGTGTATTTCGCCGAATATATCGATTTCCCAAAATTTCCGTTAACTTATGTGCAACCCTTGTTTATATAATGAGAAGATTCCTAGTGACCAAAGCTGTGTTTACTTTTACAACACTTTATAAATACGTGATTACAAAGTATTTAACTATAATTAAGAATATCCTTGTTTTATCAAAATAATGGTCAGTGTGCAGACGGCGCGGCGCAACTCGTGGCAAGGCGTGTGAGGCGGGCGGGGGATGCTGTCCGCGCACGCGCCCTGCCTGTAGAAGTCGCGCGAGGCCGGCGTGTCGAGCGTGAGGGCACGATGGTCCGAGCACGCAGCTCGTATCACAACACGAATGCAAGGCACCAGCCCCATCTCAATAAATCACCCCACACCGCTTTGAGCGTTGTGTTCCTGCAAGTTGTAAGGGACATTGGTGTGATGTTCCTCTTAGCGTGGGACGGCAGAGGTGCGGAGAGGGGGGAGACGTCTGTGGTCCGTGCGAGGTCAAATGATAGCATGTCAAGGTCCCAGCGAATCGGGCTATAATGCCGTAACCACCAAAAGCAATGTTTGCCACGACTTCACGGCAGCAGCCGAATATCGAAGGATCTGTTCCATTATATTTGACAGCTGTCCCAACAGCTAACACGGAAGACTTACCGTATTCGTATATTAGTTCCATAATGAAACGTCTTAACATCTTAAGATTATAGGCTACTGATAATTTACATTATGTCTACTATACTATTATGTACTTTATAGTCTATTATATAAGACAATCATATAATACAATCTGTAAGGCAATTTACGGAGGAGTCCTTGCGGTAACCCTCATCCGGGTTAAGTTTATCACCCGCCCCCACCTGCCCCGAATAAACTCAAAAAGTACTGGACCGACTCCAAAATGTTTTTTTACATTACAAAGCGACATTGTTGGTATGTGACATCAGCATACAGCGTACATTTATTACTAGATTTTTTTAGTTCCGCAGAGAATAAATTGCGATCAAAAGCTAATTAGTTATATCGAGAAAGATATGTTTCATAGCAATAATGTTTTTCTCCGTCGTATCAGATATGTATGCAATAAGTGCGCGTGCATGAAGATACGACAAAGTACGTATATGTACATAGATATAATGCATATCGGCGAGTGGCGGCGAGTAGCGGCTCACAAGTCAACATCCATTAAATTTATACCGCTGTGACCACACGACTGTGTAAACTGCGACTCTTTCAGGACTATCGTCATTTTTATTATTATAAGATGTTTATATAACTAATATTTATAAAAAACTAATGGAATGATGTATGAATGTGTGGTTTAACATTCGTTACAGCTCTATACATGTAGAACAAACGCCATTGGCTACTAATACAAATTAAGGTTTTTTTTTAATTCTCCAAGGACTGAGTCGCGGGGGTCAGCTATATTGTTATGACAATACGTGAAGCGAAAACGGATGTACGTAAAATTTGCCTTGAAAAGTTACTTTTAGGTAAAAATTAAAAAACATGATAATGAATTATGGTTGTGAATTTGGAATTGCAACCAGTAGTTTTATGTAATTTTATGTACAACGTCGAGTGATCACCAATCACTCATGAAGAGCCACTTTAATTCAAAATGATAATGATAACTACTAACTATTTTAAACCGCAGCTTGATGGGAAACGATAATGCCATAATAACAATTGACAAAGATTTTGCGGAATTGTACGGATGTATGGAGGGAGCTACGTTAAGTATTATAACATAGCCTAATATGATTGTATTACAATGCTAGAAGTATAGTAACAAGTCGTTTATTAAATGACGGATCTAAAGCTTTGTGTGAAACAACAAGAGATTTTTGCCCTTAACTGAATATTATTATATTTAACCCTTATGTTCACTTTGTATAGTATACCAAACATACAACTTTATAAAAATATACGATAACTATAAAATAATTTTTAACTTAGTTTTTTGTTTGTTCTTTTCTTCAAAAAAGAAATCTTGCCACAATTCGGGTTAATGACTAATAAATGCAAGGAGAATGATTTTTGAAAATCAAATTTTATATATTTTTTAACAAAATATGAAAGTAAACAGTACATTCCTAAACGATAGATATTGAGGGCCTTTACCTCGACAAACTCCACAAACCCTGTATAGTAATTATTTGTGAAGCGATATCGTGCAACGGCCGGCGGAGTGCGCCGCCTCGCCGGAGCATTGCCACTCGATGCACTACTACGATGTATTTCTCATAATCTTTTATTGCATTATTTTGAACTAAGGATGTTGACCCTTCATTATGAATGGAAAAACTATATTTAGATTAACACTCATTTACTTGTGATGTTGGCGTCCTATTAAATTATGTATTTAGTACCTAAACGCTCCTTTGTTCTTTTCTCTTCTTACTTTAAAAAGCAAAAGCGCGTCAATACACACTAAGAGTGTCATTCACTCATTACTTTGAACGAGTCAATCTACAAAACAAGAAATAACAATGCATTACTTATTATTATTAAGAATTCCGTGATGTACATAATAAATTTAAAATCAGGTTCAATTTAAATCCTCGTAGGACAGTCCTGTGTACGCGTGCTGCGTGGTGACACCGCGGCACTTACCAACTATATAATAAACCGACGCCAGTATTTATGTTCATTTTAATAAACGTTACTGCAAAATAAAGCGATAACAAATATAAAGATGTACCAGGTTACAGTAGTTCTTATAGCTTTCACTTTGTTCTTACTGTATTATTTGTCAACGAGAAAATTCAACTACTGGAAAATAAGAGGTATCCCTCACGAGACACCACTGCCGCTGTTCGGCAACTACCTGCAGTACATATGTCTGCGGCTGCCCAACTTCCTCGTGGCGCAGCGGCTGTGCGAGCGCTTCCCCGACGCGCCGCTAGTGGGCGCCTTCTACGGCACCCAGCCCGCTCTCCTTGTGCAAGATCCTGACCTCGTGAGGCTCGTCACCACCAAAGACTTCTACTACTACAACAGCAGGGAGGTCGCCGACTACACCGCCCGGGAGGCGGTCACCCAAAACCTTTTCTTCACCTATGGCGACAGATGGAAAGTGATTAGAAATAATTTAACTCCTCTTTTCACTTCTGCCAAAATGAAGAACATGTTTTATTTGATAGAGAAATGCACACAGCAGTTGGAGACTCTGATAGAGGGGGAAACGTCGGGGGCGGGCGGCGCCGAGCTGGACATGCGGCAGCTGATGGCGCGCTTCACAATGGACTGCATCGGCTCCTGCGCATTCGGCGTTGAGACTAATACTTTGGTCAAGAGCAACGAACCCAACCCCTATCGGGTGATGGGCGATAAAATTTTCGAGAATTCATTCGACCGGGGCTTCCGGCTGGTCTGTCGCGCGATGTGGCCCTCCACTTTCTATGCGCTGCGCTTCCGCGTCTTTCCCGAGGAAATAATAAATTTCTTCAAGACGATGCTGGTGAAAGTGTTCGAAGTGCGCGGGTACAAACCCACAAACAGGAACGACTTCATTGATCTCTTGCTAGATTTGAAGCAGAACAACTACCTGGTAGGCGAGAGCGTCACCTCCTATAAGAACGGGAAGGGGCAGCAGATACGCCTCGAGCTGGACAACGAGACGATGAGCGCGCAGTGTGTCGTATTCTTCGCGGCGGGGTATGAGACCTCGGCGACGACGCTGGCCTACACTCTGCATATGCTAGCCCGACACCCCGCTGCGCAGGACAGGGTAATAGCTGAGGTGGAGGAGTTCCTGCGGCGACACAGTGGCCGCATCCCCTACGAGTGTGTGCACGAGCTGCCGTACACAACGGCGTGCGTGCAGGAGACGCTGCGCTTGTTTCCCGTGCTGGGCGTGGTTACGCGAGAGCTGGTGGAAGACCACGTACTGCCCGGTGGTCTGCAGCTCGACCGTGGTCTGCGTATACACATCCCCGTCTATCGTTTCCATCACGATCCTAAATATTTCCCGAATCCAGAGGCTTTCGATCCGGAGCGGTTCCTCGGTGAACGAAAGAAAACGATAAAGCCCTACACCTACATGCCCTTTGGGGAGGGACCCAGAATATGTATAGGTAAGTGAATGTATGACATTATCAATTTTAAACTACACAATCAGCAATCCAATCGGAGTTCCCTAGTTCATGGTATTGCTTCCCCTGTTTGAAACGAAGACATGGTTGTTGCAGGGATGAGGTTCGCGTGGATGCAGATGCTGGCGGGGCTGGTAGCGGTGTTCCGGCGGCACGGTGTCATGGCGGCGAGCGACACCCGCGACGCAGCGCACTTCCACTACGACCCCACTTCCATTGTAACCCTTCCCACGCACCCCATCAACCTCAAGCTAGTGCGCCGCAACGCCCAAGCATCCCCAGTGCCCCATCCTAATCCGTCTTAGATTTAAATTGATTTTCTGACGAAGTGGAGAGGCGCCATGCTTTCTTGATTCCTTTCGTGAACATCACTGGAAGAAGAAGAATAACAGAAAATTATGTCCCTGTACGATGCCAGAAGGTTTGATTATACAGTATAAACAAAACAATAAGAATGTATTTCTGGTTGAAACTTGTTG